GTGGATTTCATTGATAAATAAACATCCACTACTCTGAGTAGATTAGTTTTCCTGGTTTATTTCAATACACACTCCCAGGCTGTGTTTTTTAAGTACCCTTAGGAAGATACTTGTTTTTTCACTCTCCCCTTTTCATGCAATCATACAATGGTTTGAGTTGTATGTGACCTTAAAGATGTCTGGTTTCAACACCTCTACCCTGGGCAGGGGCACCTCCCACTAGACCAGGTTGCTCAAAGCTGAATGTCAGTGCCAGATGAAACAGCCTTTGTCTTCCTTCTAATTACCTGTAACCACCTTGCAAGAGCCCTTCTGTCCCTTCCTCCTTGATTATAGGTCTATTTAATTGTAAGTTGGATAGACTTAACAGAAGTGAATGAAATCCTATGACTTAGTAGTTAGAGGCACTTTCCCAATTCCCAGCTCTGTTCTGCATCTGCCAGACTCAGCAGATAAAAAGGGGTAGTAGGAATTAAGTCTGGGAGATGAGTTTTGTATAAGGTTTTATATATATAATTTGTTTTACCAAGCCTTTTTTCCAATTTGTACAAGATTCATTGACATGAATTGAGATTATTTAGTTGGTTGAATGTAGATTAGATTCTTCACAATGTGCTTCACCAGTGCAGAGTACCCTGAGAAGCCTGAGGGAGAACTCAGAAAGGCAGCTGACTGAAGCTAAAAGGTTTTCCTCTTTGTTATATTCATCTTGATGTGTCTGTCTCACAAGATGTGATGGTGTGTTTTTAGCTGTGTGAAATGGTCATTAAGGCATGTTGGTCCTGGAATGTTTCTTGTTAAGCAGGGCTGATGTCTTTCTTCTGTTGCAGCCTTCTGCATATGTGCTGGAAGTTTTCAAGAAGGTCAGGTCAAGGTGAGTCCCAGGAGCTTTATTGCTGAACAGATTTGTGACTGAGTGTTGGGTTTCTAGGCCCAGGACTGGCTGGGGTCCTTGAGTGGTCTCTCATGCAAGGTATGGGCAGTGCTAGAGAGTCTGGAGTTCTCTAGCACTGTTCCTGACAGCCTCTTTGGGAACATGCATGGAACTGGGGAATGGGAAGTGTTCCTTCCACGGGGAGTGTGGGCTGAAGCTTCTGGATGTGGGTTGGCTGCTTGGAGATGCACATGTACGTGGAGAGCAGTTTGGGGATGCAGAGGAGGAAGGGCTGTGTGCCTGCTCTGTGTGCCACAAGGTGCCTGGGCTGTGCAGATGCAGGACATCTGGTGCAGATGTGGGTAGTCATGGGCAGCAGTGAAGAATGGTTAGCACAGCTGAGTACCAGCACCCACCTATGTGGATCTGTTTCCTGCTCATCTGTAGCAGTGTAGTGGCTGAGGCTAAAGCTTGTGTCCCTTTGCTTTTTCCCTCAGTGAGCTGGAAGAGTCTCTCCTAGTGCTGCCCTTCTCCTATGTCCCTGATATGCTCAGACTCTTCAATGAATATATTCAGCTGGGCTCAGATGTTGAGCTACTGTGCCGAGCTCTCCTCTTCCTGCTCAAGTGAGTCCTTTGCCCAGACAGTATCTGGGCTTCCTTCTGAGTCTTTGGGCCTGAAACACTTGGGAAGCATCCTTGAGAATAAATGTGTGGTCTCTGCAGGAGACAAGGAATCTCTGCAGCCCACAGTAAATGTGTGTGGATAAACTGCTTGGATGCAGAGTGCTGACATGCCCAGATGGGGTTGCTGGTCCTGGTGGCCCGAGTCTTACTGGAATGAAAAGATCCCCCATCAAGTCTGACAAGGCACTGTTGGTGGCACAGAGTCACTGTAGAGCCTGTGTCCTCAGAAAGACCTTCCCCTTGATACACTGTTGAACTTAAGAAAACAGCTTTTCCAGATGAATTTGTCCATGCCTATCCATGTCCAATGCTGCTCTGGGGAAGACTAATTTAAAAAGCCCCATATTTCCAGAACATGCAGAGGCTCAGGAGAGGGTCTTTGTGATGTTTCTAATAACAATGCTGCAATACACTGCCTGCTTTGTTCCCAGGATACATTTTGGGCAGATCACAAGCAACCAGATGCTGGTGACAGTGATAGAAAATCTGAAGAAAACCACCATCTCCAGAGTCAGTGAGGCTCGGGTGAGTGTTGCACCCTCCCCTTTTCCAGGATCTAGAACAATGGGATGAGACAATGTTTGTGAGCATGAATTATCTGTGGTGTCTAGTGGGGAAGCTCTTTGGGGGTCTGAGCTCATTTAAACCATCCTCTTTTGCAAACAGGCTGCCTTTTCCTTATGTTCCTCCTCACGTGAGAGTACCCAGTGGTGAGCTTATACTTGTGCTCCCTGCCTCATTTGCACTTTGTTTTCTGATGAATGTGTTTGGATCTTGGCTTGCTAGTTTCTAAATATGTAGGAGGCAGAGTTCTGCTTCTCAGGCTTTTCTGTGGGCTGCTACCTCAGTGCAGACTGTGCATTTTCCCAGAGGAAGCTTCAGGTGCCTGACAGCAACTTGTCTTTCAGAAAATACAGTGGATTATAGCTGTTCTTAAGAGGGAACTGAGGGGAACTAAGTGCAGCACTGACTGTTCTCCTGATCAGATGAAATTTACATTTAAACTAATGTTGTTTCCTCTAATCTGTCAATTGTCTCATCTTCATCATCTCTTAGTAGAGGGTAGCCAATGCAGGACTCTGCCCCCTAACTAGCTTGGGATGTGCCTCACAGTGTGGTGCTGGTCTGTCTCTGCAGGATGTGCTGGGATTCAACATGGCAGGGCTCCAGTTCCTGAAGAGGGAGATTGAGGCCAAGGACGAGGTGACGTTTTTTGCTGATGCTACTGAACGTTTTGAGGAGAAGAAGAGAAAAAGGAAGAAGAAAGAGAAAATGGTTCTTGCAGTGCTCTAGCATTTGCTGCCCAAGACCCAGAGCACCTGGATGGACTCGGGTAGCCTCACTGCTGACCACAGAAGTGTTCTTGTGGCTGAACATCTGTGATGATGTCCAGTGGCTGGGACAAAGTCTGTCCCCTCCTCATATGGTATAACCCAGCATGTAAACCCAACTCAGAACGGTTGTCTCTGAGATGGACTCTCTGTAGTCTGCTCCAGATGGATGCATTTGGACTCTTTCTGAGATGGCTGTCAAAGGCACGTGCTCTTCCTCTAGTGGAGTGCCTGTTAGAAATGGAGTTGATTTATCCTGAGATCAGCTTGTTCTGATTCAATGGAACGTAGCACACAGACTGCTGGTGAGACCATGCTCTGTCCAGGGAAGGCAGTTGGCAAGGTTTTTCACTGACACCTGCTGGTGGCTTGTGGCCTGTGGGAAAAGCTCTCTGATTGATGCTGAAGTGTGAGGACTTGATCTACAGCCACTCACTCTTCAGTGGGACAGGGAGAAACATGGCTGCACTCTGTTAAAGGCATATTTATATTTCCTTTATGAAACAATTTTGTTCATAGTGTTTTGTCCTGGTATTTCTTTTGTAAATCCTCAGTTGCCTTGATCTGTGTGTCAGTTTTCAAAGGATTTTTTACAGAGAATAAAATCAGTGGGAGCAAATGAAAGGGCTGCCATCCCAGATTCCAGTTTTTCTGGAGAGCTGGCAGACCAAACATGAGAAGCCTGGATTGTTTGCCTTGTACTTGCTCCAGGTTTTAGAAATTGCACTGATCTGTTGCAATGTTGTACTTGTGCTGTATCAGATAAAATTATTTATTTTCATAGCAGGGGCAGTGGGGCAGAATGAAGTGAACAGGTCTCTGCTGCTGTTGGTATTAATTTATAGCACATGCTGTGTTTTTTACCAGTAGTCACTGGTTTGGAGATGTGGTGGGAGCTGCTTCCGGATACTTGCTGACTGTTGGGTTCACGTGTCTGACTTAGGTACTCAGAGCTGAACTTCTAACTTGAGTTTCATGTGGATTTTTAGTTGCATCCCAGTTGTGGCTGACTGCTGTCTTTGACCTAGTTTCTCTATTAGTAGTAGTTATGCAGAAGGCCAGAAGTTCAGTTGGTTATTCTCTAGGCAGCACTTCAAGTGTAACAATTATACCTCTGTTGTTGGTAAGTAACTTTGTCAGGGGACGATTGTTCACTTGCTTCTTCAGAGTCTGGGTAATTCACAGGAGTACACTGCTCCATTTCCAGGTGGGTCTCAGACTCTATAGAAATGGGAGTTTTCATACAGCTCTGCCAGTTGTTTCTGGGTGCCCCTATAATTTTATATTTGTCCAGATATGGATGAAACTTGTGATCAAACAGCTGCAGTCAAACATGTCTCTATCCTGACTTACACTGTTCTATTTAATTTTATTCTGTACTTTTCCTTCACTACTCCCAAAATAGACCATCATAAGAGGGATTACTAGAAGGAAGAGGAGGCACTGTAGGATGATCCATTTTGTTGGTAAAATCAGTTGATATCCACATTATCTGCTGCTGAAATGCACCAGCCTGCTGGAAAAACAAGTGTTAGAGATGGAGAGGTGGCTTGTGACACCACAGTGCACTGTCAGCTGAGGTGACTGAGGAGAGAGATGCCAAAACCAGGTACCAAAAGAGATAGGCTGACTGTGCCTCTGTTTACCTTAATGACAGGGAGATAGATGTTATGGATGCTGTGCAATGAGCTGCTGTTTGATGATCCCCTGGGAGGCCTGGAAGAAAAACTCAGTCACGGGCACATGAACTCAGGGCCTGATGAGAAGGATGTAAATGGCGATACAGAAAAGTAGGTTGGGATGCAGAGTCGTTTTATAATGATGATGGGTATCCTCTGATCTGAGTTGGAAGAGATGGAATTCCTTCACTTTTTTCTGTTTGCTGTCACTGCTATTAGGGAAGAATCCTTGGAGAAAAGGTCTTTTAGGTGTTGGAGAGTTGTTGTTCTCTCTGTAGCTGCTGCCACAGGCTGTCCTCGAAGTTTCCCTGTGGTTCTCAGATTTGTATCACTTGTGGTGGGTCTGCACTAAAGCAGGACTTGGGTGGCTACTGACAGAGCCCAGCATATGCTTTAAGTGGAAGGGTTCTGTCCTGTGCCAGCAGTCCTCTGATAGGAATTTTAATGTCCTTGGGACATCAATTTGCCCCTTCTTGGATGAAATTCCCTGGATTTACAAACCTGGGCAGCAAAGCACTTTGAAGTACAGGGCAAGCTTAAATCTGTATTGTTAGGATATGTATCTCACCTAACAGTGTGGATGTGAGGGTTCAGAACTGGCATGCATGTTTTACACTGGTGAAAGCTGCTATTAATGCCCAGTCATGGGATTCTCGGTCACTCTGAAGTTGAGAGTTGAGAGAACAAGTCATCTGCATGTATCAAGGAAAATTCCCCATCTCTCTCAGCATGTCACATGGTGGAAAAAGGATGAAGCACAGGAAAGGACCTTGTGAGAAATGAATTCATGAACTGGGAGTAGAGCTGCACTTGGACACACAAATATGGTGGCTCAAAAGGAGTCTGTGAGATTTCTCTTAGTCATTGCTGTGTAGGTGGGAACAAGGAGGGGGAAAGACCATCTCTTCCAGTATGAAGAGAGATGAGCAGATGAACATTTGAAGGTGCTCATGTGTGACTGAACAAGAGGGTATGAGAATCCCTCTCTCGTCAAATGTAACTTTGTGTACTCACTACCCCCATCTGGTATTTGCAGCTTTATTAAGGTAGGTGAGCACACAGAAAGTTAATCCTGTGATTGTGAAAGCGAACAGAAACTCAGGAATTAGATCAGAGCAGGTCAGCAGCTCCTGAAGAATCATAGTTGACTGTGTTGAAACATGGTGCATTCCCAGTACGTGAAAAATATTTCAGGTGCCTCAGCACAGGTTATTAGAAACCTAATCCCTTTTAAAAACAAATTTAGTGGGAACCATGCAGCACTGCTCTGTAGTAGGGTTGAAATACAGCAATCTTTCCACTGTTTGCATTTCAGACAGGAGATTGTGCAACTTTTGGACCACCTTTCCCATTAACAGGGAAAAGGCAAAATATTTATTCTCATTTAATCTGATGAAATAAATGAAAAGATTACATTGGATGTTTCCATAAGGTTGGACTAAAATCTAGGTATTTCAGTGTTGCTGATCTTCGTGTTGATCTTCTAGGCTTCTAACCTGTAGTGGAAGAGGACAGAAAATTAACATGAATGGAAAGAAGAAAAAACAAGAAGAAATCCCAGCTCCACCTTTGTAAAGTTGTTGAACCAAATCCCAATAATCATGTCCAGATTCTTTGCAATTATTGTGTGAGCACTGGCTTCAGATTTGGCCTTTTGCTGTTGGAAGGGAATAACAACATGACAGAGTTTTTACACAGGCTTCAAGTAGATTAGGGGGTTTGCTTTTATTGTACAAATTGAATGGCATAAAAATCATAACCACACATTCAGGATGGACAGTCTGCTTAGGAATACTGAAGACTTACATGGGCAGCTTCCTGTGAGGTATTTAATTCTGAGTATGTTAAGAGAATTTTTTTGAAATGTTTTAAATATTCATCTGAAATAACTAAGGAAATATAATGAGATAAGACTGGGTTTGGTCAGGTGATGCTTGATCAGTGGTTTTTGCTTGTTGGTCTCTGCTAGGTGTGGCAAATTCGTGATCAAGTTTAATATTGCAGGGAAGTTTCTAGGTCTCAGTAGGGAGAATCACTGGCTCTGGTGATAACTGCCTGGGAAAGGTGATAGAAAGTTCTCATGCTGCCTCTGCAGTGACTTGACTGGTTCTGTTCTGGATCACTGAACAAGACTATTTAAGCAATTGCAGGATTTAACATAGGAGTGTCGGTGTTCCATGTTTTGTGAGACTAAACCAACCAATCCAGAGTTCCTTGACATGTCTGAGAGGGATATGAGTCCAAGAGACTTGGAGGGGAGAAATGTTCAAAGAGGCATTAGGTACAGTTGTTTGGGTAGCATGGGATAGCTGCAGCCAGCTTCAATAGGAATTATCAATCAGTTCACAAAAGGACACTATCAGAAGAGAAGGGAGGGTTTGCTGTGGTGACAGCAGCTATGATTAGCTGGATTAGACATGAGGGAGGAGAATACTGTGTAGTTAATTTCTTTCCCTTTGTGCTTGTCGTTGAAGATGACCCTGATTAGAATTTCTCTTGGGACTGGGGGTGTGTCACTCAAATGTGAACTGACTGGGTGAGTATTTCTCTTCTGTTTCAACATAAAGTGAGAGAAGTTTGTCTAAACTGCCTTCATTATGAGTTCCAGGCTGTAAATCCCTAAGGTGGAAGGCATCAAACCGGTTGTTTTTTGGTGTATTACTCTGGGGGTAAAATTCCAGACTGGAAAAGGAAAAAAAGATATTTAAACAGGAAAAAAATCTATACTTGATGTATACTGGGCAGTCCTAGAGCAGATGCAGCAGTCAGAGGTACATGTCTGTGAAGTTTTTGAGAACTGACTGATGTGGTCACTGTTTTTTTTTTTCTCCAGAGGAGAGGAAATGAGATACAGCTGGAATTTCTTTCCAGCTGACTGGTTAGATAACATGGCAGGCTTACAGATGTTTAAAGAAGAAGATGTCAGTGTTACACATACGAAGCAAACGGGGACTCTTCAGCCGAGGAGAGACATCCATGAGGTTCCTGTTTATGAACTGTCACCATCAATTGCATTGTAGAGTGCCTGAGCTCATGGGGGTGAGGTGAACACCAGCCTAATGTTAAACATGTTGACTGGTGGTTTGTGAGAAATTCCCAGTAAGCCTTTCATGTTGTCAGGGAAGACTTTACCATTCTAAGACACTCTTAGAAAGCATCCAAATGAGGGCTAGAACGATGGTGAAGAGTCTTGAGGGGAAGCCTTGTGAGGGGTGGCTGAGGTCACTTGGTCTGTTCAGCCTGGAGGAAACTGAGAGGAGACCTCACTGCAGTCTTCAACGTCTTCATGAGGGGAAGAGGAGGGGCAGGCTGCTGACCAGTGACAGGGACCCAAAGGAATGGCCTGAAGCTGTGTCAGGGAAGAGTTAGGTAGGATATCAGGAGAAGGTTCTTCATCCAGAGGGTGGTTGGGCACTGGAACAGGCTCCCCATGGAAGTAGTCAGAGCACCAAGGCTGGCAGAGTTCAGGAAGTATTTGGACAATGCTCTCAGGCACATGGTGTGAGCCTTGGAATATCCTGTGCAGGGCCAGGAGCTGGATGTGATCCTTGTGGGTCCCTTCCAACTCAGGATATTCTGTGATTCTTCATACAGACTGATTCTGTAAGGCTACAGAAAAGTGCTGTATGAAACTGTGTGCAGAGGGTTGTGTGTATTGGAACTTGTCACATTAAGGCTGCCCTATCTGTCCCTTATTATACTTGCTGTCAGGGTCACCGGTAAGACTTGGTTTTAGAAAGTGAAAAGTGTTAAAGAGAGGCTGATTTATTAGGGCCTAACTGCAGTAAATCCAGCTGCCAGGAGGCTCAAGGACTTGTTTAATGTGGAGACTATAAGTGCAGGATTTGGGACAGGAATGAGGAGTCTCTGCTGTCAGTGCCTCCACTGAGCTGAGCAGTTGTAATAACCTGCAGTTCCCTTACAGTGAGTGCTTTGGTTAGTGTCATCCAGTGTTTCATTTCCATTGTCACAGTTACCAAGTCTGTGTGATAGGTGCATCATTTGCATGAGCTTTGTTCAGGACGCTGCTGATGAAGGGAAGAGTAGATAAAACAACTGTACTTGAATTTACTGCCAGTGTCACTGCATCCAGTACTTACACTAAGTACAAGGCTTTCGTGGGAGTGTAAGCCGTAACCATGGCTTGGTGCTTGCAGGAACTGCCTGGACTGCTGCTGCCATCCCTCCCTGGGGGTATTCTTTTGGGCGGCACTCATAAATGTCACTGGATAACACAGGTGGAATACCATGTTAAGGATCTAACCATTTTGGTACATTTATTTAAGTAAAATAATGTGTGGAGGTAAGAATGAATTCTAGAAGTAAGGTTGTGAATCATCTTGAATCTGAACTAGTGTCCTCAGCTCAAAGATTAAAGGACCAGGTAAAAAATGGGGGAAAGGCAAATGTTTTGGAGGCTGGTCTGCAACTGTGTCTGAGGACTGGGTGAGTGGGAACAGAACAGCAGCTGGTTTTGCTGCTATGCTGCTAGTCCTGTCTAACTCAGCTCTGCAATTATAAGCATGAAAGATTTCTTTGGGACAATGCAAAGCAAATTTGGGGAGTTTCAATGTCACATCCAGAGTATATAAAGCCTCAGAAGAGTTGCTGTTAGCATTTACTGTGGTCAGGCTCAGAGTATCCTGAAGTTCTCCTTTCTTTGCTAAGGGTGGTCCTTACTGTGAATGAAGTTTCTGGCATGTTTGGATGTAGCTTGCCTTGTTATTTCTTTTCTAGGTTTCCAGGGGACCCCTTCTCCCAGACTTCTAAGTGTAAATTTGATAATGTCAAACAGAACTTCACCTGGAACACAAGGGAAATAGAAATAATAGCTGTTGACTTGGCTCTTTTACTGTACTGCTGTCAGTAAACAACTGAGAAGCTCACTGAACCCACACAGGCTCATTTCTGACAGCATTAATGAGCTTCTGTGCTTGCATCTTTGCTGCTGCAGGGATTGTCCCATTTGCCTGTTTAGTATCAGGATGATACATCATTTTGTTGCTCATGAGGTTGTGCCACCAGATGATACCACAGATTCAAAAATGTAATGAAGTATTTTCATGAGGGCTGGTGGGAAAGAGTTCCTATTATTTTCATTTATTTTTTAAAAGCAACATCTTTCTGAGTTGCTGTTCTTCCCTTCCCCACTTTTCAAACCACATTATTCTGATGTAAAATGTGTTTGGCATCAGAATCTCAAATTTTTCATATGTTGTGCTTTGAAAACACCCATTTATGTATCTCTGAAGAGGACATTAAAGCTTGCTACTGCAACAGCCTGCACTGGAAACAATGCTTGAGGCTTCCAACAGGAAGATGATCTTCAGGGTCGATGCTATGAGGTGTGTGTGAGAAATAAGACAACAAAGGATATTTGCTTTCACAGGCAGGAGAAGAGTTTCAGTTTCTGTTAATATTTCAATATCATGGGAAACTTCTTCAAGGCCACCAGTGTCTTTCCCTCCAATTAGCATGGCAAAAATCTCTATCTCCAATTCAACCTGCAAGCCTGCTGCCACCTAGGAGAGACAGAATGACTCACAGGTAAGGTGCAAGTTTCATACACGGTCCCTTTCAGCAGTCCCCCCAATCCTCTCATGTTAGAGGCATTTGGACAGTGTCCTTGATACTATGGTTTAACTTTTGACTAGCCCTGAAGTGGTCAGGCAGTTGGACTAGAGGGTCACTGTAGGTCCCTTCCAAATGAAATATATTCTATTCTGTTCTAAAAAGAACATAAAGGTAGGAGGGTACAAAAGGGGCAGATGTGAGGACAAAAGAAGATGGTGGAAATTATTCCAGCGATCTAGATATATTTCTGTAAGTCCTTTGACACTGTCCCTCCACCATCCTCTCTCAACTGGGGCCTTTAAATATCCCTTCCAACCTACACTATTCTATAATTTAAAGTACCAAGTTGTGGCTAAGGCTCTGGACTAGGAGGTTTGACTTGCATTCTGGCACTGCCTCTCTGCACAAGTCATTGCTTCTTGATTCCATGAATTGGCAAGATATTGCCTGGTATTACATGGATGCTGTGGGGACAGTGGCCACCATTATTTATTTATTCAGAGATAACATGAAGGTGAAAAGAGAAACTGAACAAAAGCAGAAAGCATGAAATCTTCCTACTTCATGGGTTAATTTAATGTGCTGTGGTGCTTTGCTAGATAAAAAAGGTGGAGAACAGCTGGAAGCAGGAGAAGAAAGGACTGAGGCAATAGTTTACTAGTTTAAAATTCTGAAGGTATCAGGACAGGAAGTTAAGTATTTGCATAAGACAGAGCAGATATAACAAACACCTTAAGCAGAAGGGAAAACTCAGAGGCAGTGGTAAAGTAATCCCTGTTTGCTTTGAAAAAGCTCTCTATAAACTCACTGCATGACCTGCTGCTTTTTCCACTGAACATTTTTATCCCTCTCCATTCTGGCACAGGCTGAGACTCGAGTACATAGGGTGCTGCAGCTGAAGGTGGCAGAGGGAGTGTGGAAGACAGCATCACTTCAAATAACTTTAAACAAAACTGTACCCTGGAAGCTCTATTCCCAGACAGCTGCTGTCCCAGAAAGGTGCCCTAGCTAGCCTGAGGGGAAACTGAGTCTAGAAAAAAGCCCAAAAGCTGTCCTGTGTAACCTACAGGTCCTGGTGTGTACATCACTGTCAGTCCTGTGTGCGGAGGTGGCTGCTTCACCCGAAACCTGTCAGAAAGAGAAGGGAATCAGTTTGCCAGAAACTGTTTCAGGCAGGAGAAATCGCATTGAGGAAGCAGGCTGCCTGCTCTTCCTCTGCTGTTTTAAATTACAGCAGAATTTTTTAGCTCATCCTTTCCATCATAATGTACAAGTTGGACTACAGCAGCATTCCTGGGCTTCTCATGAAGGCTCAGGTCTCTAACATAAAAACCCAAAGGAGCAGATGAATGGGTCAGAGTAAGCCTTCAAAGAGCTTGTTAACACTGCCTGGTCCTTCCAACAATGTGAAAGAGAAGCATTTTAAATGTGCATATTCAAAGGAAGCTGAAGTACAAAACAGCTTCTTGGCAAACACCTGTGTGTTGCAGACCCAAATGTCCATAACAGTCTTTATTTAACGTTCTTCAGTATGATTCTATTGCAGAAGACATAATGACATGAATTTCGTGCAAATAATCTTTAATTAAATGGTACCAAGTAAAGCAGAAGTTTTGCTTCCTCATTTCTTACTGATTGTTTCACATCTGAGATGACAGTCCTTTTGTGAATGCAACTTCCTACTGTTCAGGTTTTTAAAGATCATTAGATCAGATATGACCTTTACTTTTGCATTGCTCTGGAACTGATCCTGTGGATTTCATTCCCCCCTGAAGAACAGTTTACCAGCATGCCCTTACACCAGAAGCTGTTAAAGGAAAGGTAGTAGAAGAGGCATTCCTAGGATATGGCTCTACTTTACAGAAAGCTCTGGCATACCTATAAAGTGGCTGTCAGATTTCCTGCGTTTTCTCTGGAGTGGGGTGGCTCCAGAGAAACTGTACTTGATTTTTGTCAGGATCTATTTTGAGAAATAAAAAACAGGATACTAAGAATTCAGACTAACCTTGAGAAGTTCACACCAACATTCTTCATGATGACAGTGGTTGTGTAAGTGCAGCCTTCCTTTAGCACTCCAAATGTCACCCTGGGTGGGATGAGATGGAAGCTGGTAAGATCCTGTCTTGTTGCAAGAGAAGATATGTTGACCTTTCCTGAGGCAGGATCTTCTATCTTTACAAACAAAATATGAGACAAAGAGAAAGTTGGTGGCCATTAAGTCAGGTGGAGAATTACTTAACCTATATTTGACCTCTGACTCACCCTGAAAAATTACAAAAAGACATCCTAATTTGAGTAAAAACTGAAGTAGCACTTTGAATACTGTCTGAAAATTTATACTGGTTTGAGTTTTCAGGTGTATTAAGCCATCGAGGTGTCTCAGGGAAAAAGGGGGAAGCTTTGCTCTTTTAGAAATGGAGTTTCATGTAAGTCCCTGATGCAGAATGTTTTTTCTAGCAGTTGAGAGGAAAGGTACTTCTAGAATTGTCAGTAAACATAAATAATTTGCAACAGCCATGTTTCAGTAAACAGATTCAAAACACTTTCCAGTATTGCTCCAGGGTGAAGATTTTGGAATCCAGGGTGAAGAAAAGAGATTACTCAGAGGATATAAATATTGACAAGAAAGATGTTATTTTTACCTTTTTATTTGGTATGGTGTTTGGTTTTTTCCCCTGAAGATATGATGGTAATACTACTTTCTCTTTTCTTGTCTGTCCTGTAACATCCACTGCCAGACTTGGAACTTTAAATTGAAGGGGTGTCTCCTGTGCTCTTGCTGCCATGCTTAGGTCTGGAAGGGAAAGATTTCCAAAAGCATGAACAAGTGACAGGTGGATTTAAATTTGTATTGCAAATATTGTGTCAAGAGTTACAGAAAGATACCAAGTTGCTCCAACTACATTCTGGAAGGCAGGTGTACCTGCTGTGCTGCTGGAACCATCATCTTCTTTGGAAGGATCCTGCAGTGGAAGGCTAGATGAAAGTGAAGAGTCATTTGTAGTATCAAGAAATTCAGCTGTGAAAGGGAAAAAACAATGGAATACTGAGTCAAGTGTTTTTTATGATCACCATCATTTTCATAAACATGTGGAACAAAATCACAGTCTTTGTCACTTTAATTTAGACAATCTTGGAAAGCTGTCTACATAACCATGAGAAGCTGAGAAAATTCTGCATGTGGCATTATGCTCTACTGGGCCACAGGGATCTCAAAAATGCCTGTTGTATGATTAGTCATTTCTTGTTCTCTGGCTAATTGAATTAAAAGCCATTAAGGACTAAAAGACAATCCAGCATAGATTTTATGATGATTGAAAATATGAGAAATATGGGAGTTAGCGGGGGTCTGATAAAGCCCCTCAGAGGACAGTTTTCCTGATAGGAATCTTTCCTGTATGACTTTTAATCTCACTGTATGATTTCAGTAACTTGTCAGGGCTGCTTTTTAAACAGAACTGAAGTATTCCTCTCAGTTCTGAAAAGCTCAAGCCAAAGATAACAATTCCCTCTTTCACTGCTTCCCATTATGGAGTCGCTGCTTTCCTCCTATATCCTCCAGTCTATGTTTAGCCTGCATGTTTCCTATTCCACATTGCTTTTGCACTAGTTCCCTCTAACCACTGAGTTTCAGAATGAAATCTCCTATATTTTTCCTACAGTCACATAAGTTTTTTTTCTAAATTTGGCCTTCTTGGTTCTTGGCTCATCTACCCCTAACTATTATTTATTCTGTTAAAGTTTTTCTTGAGCATTTTTCATCTATCCATTTCCCACTCATAGCCAAATTCTTCAGTTTAGCATCCAAAGCAAATGGTTCTTCTACATTCAGTGATGTCTGCAAGGGCTTCTTCCTCCTGAAGAAGATACAAAACCGATGCCAGAAAGTCGAATACCTCCACTGGGTTCTTTTATCAGCCACAGAGGGGAAGTTACACCTTCTTCTTTTTGAAGTGGAGGAAGTTCCTTCGATATTGCTTCCAAATCAGGAAACTAGAGAAAAGGGAGAAAGAGGGCTTAGGTTTCCCAACTAAATACCTAGGAAAAACAGCCATCAGACACCCTTCTCCCCTTGCAAAAAAAAAAAAAAAAAAAAAAAAAAAAAAGTAAAGGAAAATGTATAAAAAAAAAAGGAATGCAAAGGAAACAAATAAGCAGAACCAACGTGGTGACTATAAAAGATATACAAATAGTTACATCAGATTACAATTTACGTTTCTGAGTAGGCTTTTTGCACTTACAGCATTTACCAGGTGAGATTACAGTAGGAAAGCCCCCAAGATCACCTCTAAATTAAGAATGCTAGTTTTACTTATTCCCTTTCTAATAAGCAGGGAGAGGAGTTTGAGGGGTAAGTAGAAAAACCTGAGGTTAAGCTTTGCTCTGAATCAGACTCTTTCCAGAGTTTATGTAAGGAATTTTATAGAGTTTGCACTCAGTCAACATACACCATCTTCAAGTTGGGATTTCCTTTACAAGGGCATATAATTCCCAGTATTAATTCTGCCATAGCTGTCCTTTGTAATGGTTTATTGAGATAAATAGAGGCTGAGATACAAACCCAAAATTGTCTTTGGGAGTATGGGAGATACTAGCTGGCCTAACAAAACTCATCCAGTTTTCAGCTGCATTACCTTTTCATCGAAAAAGCCCTTGCTGAATTCAGATTCAAAATATGGAGCAAATATTTTGTTTTTTATTGCTGCAAATGTAGTCTTCTGTTCATCCAGTTCTTTCCTAGGGATGTTTTTCACGTTGTTGGTAAGGAAAAGAAAGGAAAAAAAAAGCATTATAACTGAGTTCACCCTGTTTTTCAGTATTATGCATCAAGGAATGGATTCGGTAAATGCAAGTGGCATTTTTTTCCCTCATTCATCACATCAAGTAACATTCTTGCAATTGGCATTTTTCTTTGAGCTGGATTAAGAATAAACTGGTCTGATCAGAATGCACATGGACAGTGAGTTGCCTGCTATGAAGAGAACCTCCTCAGAACATACTCCATTTCTCTAAACCTCATAGAACATGACTGGGACAGCCCCTGGTGTCTTTCCAACCTTCCAACAAACAGTTCAAACTAAGAATTGGTATTCCAGATCCATTAAGAAAATTCTGAACACAAAACTCATCTAATTTCCTTATTTTACCATTCTAATCATACTGAAAGCTTTATCACTGGTTTTAGAGCCAAAATTGCATGATGTTCTCAGCTGGCTGCTGAGATTTATATATTTAAATTAATTTTTAAAATATGATGCAAAACAGTGTGAAATGATATATTAAAATATAACTCTGAAACTCTAAGAGGTTTTTTATCTCATGCAAGTCAGAATGTAATTAAGAAGCAATGTGGAAAGCCTCATGTGGAGCGCTGTGTCCACTTGAGCTGTCTGATGCACAAAAGGGCCACAAAGATGATTAAGGGTTTGGAAGACCTTTCATGTGAGGAGAGGCTGAGAGAGCTGGGACAATTTTGCCAAGAGAAGCTTTGAAGCACCACCATGTGTGTGAGATGTGTCTGGGGTTCTATTGAAAAAAATCAGCTTTTATTTGTGAAATATCTGAATTTTAACCTAAAGCATCAGCATTTGAAAATATTAATATATTTTCCACACTATAGTGGCAGAATCAGAAATGAAACACAGGGCTTCTGACTTCAGCCTTGTGTTGCATAGCGTAAGTTAACAGTAATGCTGTTAGGTTTTGGGTGGGGGGAAAAAAAAAGAGACTCAAACCATTTATCCAGCATTTCTGTTGAGTAGAAAATACCCATTATTTGCAGGCAAGTCATTGGACCATCACCCAAGACCTGGTGAAATCAATTACACTCTTTACAAAATTAGATTAAGCTGGCTCATAAAATAACTTGATCCGACTAATATTATTACCTGTTCTGTTCTAGTTTGCTTTGCCACTTGGATGTTACTGTTACTCCTTCTGGACTGAATCACCAGGAAGAAAAAAAGAGAATAGTGGGAATGAGAAAACTAGTAGTCTTCTATAAATACAAAAGTATTTACAAGATAACCCTGGAAAGAAAATGCTTTTTATGGGCGTATGTTATGAAAACATCTCAGGTGACTCCTGACTTGGACTTGTATGGTTTGCACAAAATTGTTTGCTCATATCTGCATTTTTATTAGATCATTCAATCCAAAAAACATCCATAATCCTTTCCCAGAAAACCTTGAATTATCTTTCAGATAAGGAAAGAGAGGCATAGAGGGACAAAATAATCACAGGACAAGATAATAAAACACTGCCATATGTATCTAGGGATCTAGGTCCCAGTCCTTAAAGACAGTCAGTAAAGCACAGTGCCTTCCCTGTGTGCATGGCATCACCCTTTGTGTAATTTACATTTGCACCAGTCCTCACTGCTCTGTCCTACCTCTGCTGCTGGTCCTCTCTTTGTGCAGTGCTTTTCTTCTCTGTGTGAGCAGGAGAAGCCACTGCCTGTTCATACAGCGCACTCACATGGGCTGCAAGGTGAAGGGTATTACTGAATATGAGTGCTCTGCTAAGCAGTGCCAGGTGTTATGAAGAAAAAACATCAGAGGATATATTTTTAATGCATATTTCTGCCACTTTCAAACCTAACAGAGCCTTTGTTACGGTGAGGGAAAAAGCAGAAAGAACTTCATTCCAAAATCAAGATCAGAACATTAACAGATAAGAAATTGAATTAAATACTGAAAGGACAAGAAGCAGATTAAGTGCACACTCCCACCCTGTATTTCCTGACATATTTTTATGTTTTTTCAAGACACAAACACCTGTGAATAGGAAAAATTGCTGACATTCAGTCATTTTCTAGCTGGGGTGCTCTGAGGTCTCTATCTACTGCTGAAGAAAATAACATAGGCTTTCAGAGACCCTTATTACATTTAACTTGCTTAAGCTTGCATGTGCTTAATTGAGGCTGTGAAGCAGCCATAATCAACATTCTCATGGAAGGAACTACTAGTTCAATATGTACAATGGAGAAATGCCAGTCTTTCCACATTTAATATTGCGACCAGTTCTGGGGCTTTAATAAAAGAGTTGCCCTGTCCTCCGGCATATTTTATAAAGTGTCTTGTTTACTTTATGCCTTGAGGCTAAATCATATGTCCAAAGAAATTTCCTGGCTGAAAACAATTTTCTGTGGCAAAATTTAGAAGATGTGAGTATTTGTGAGATATGATCCTATTAGACTATGACAATATCTCTTAGTGTTCTGGGAATTACATAAGTTCCAACTTCAAAATGTGGGGGGTTTTTTGTCAGCTTTTTCACCATAAAATATGATTTTATTTTCAGCTTTTTCTATTTTTACCTATTTCAAAGAGTTTTTCTTTCCTATCTTCTTCATTACCAATATCACATTAAAATTTCAGCTCCATTTAAAAAGAAACTGTTCAACAAACATTTGTTGCAACAGTTTGTTTACTTTGCACAGTATGAGGTCTTTTGGCAAGTAGAAACACTCTTGACAAGGTATGAAGGGCAGAAAAATAACACTTTAAAGATGAGCATCACTATGGGATAGAATGTAATGAATTTTTCTATGGAAAAGGCTTATGGGTTTTTATAAAGAAACACATCCTAGTTTTTATTTCTACATATTGAAAACATTAATCAATGCTAATAAAAATCTTGTGAAAACTTTGACCAAAGTTCATGATACACTGCTCCATCTTTTCCCTTAGGTAGGTGAATGTAACCTGAACATGTGATGATTTGAAATTAGACTTTGAAGTGTAATAAATAACTAGGATTTACTTAGTTGCTTTGAAAAACTTGTCTGAAAGGTTGTTACTTGCATCAAAGTAGCCAAGTATTTTCATATTCTTATATCTAAGGCAACTCACTACATGTGGAAATGTGAGTCAAAATGTCAAATACACATGCCTAAAACCAGGAATTATTTTTCAGAGGTGCTGGATCGTTGATGCTAACAAGTTCTAATCACCTGTGAGAGTCACACAGAAGCATGTACATAGCACATAGATTAATTCACCTTTATATTCTCTCTTTAAAAATAGTATCACAATACTTTAAAACTTATTATGATATTTTAAATTGTAAAAAATACAAGTATTCAAGTTTTATTACCTCTATCACTGAGCTTTTCAGCTGACTTCTCCCAGTCAGGGAAGGACTGCAATGAAGAAGGAATAACTGTGACTACATGAGCAATAAAATACACAACATCAGCATCTTGTTCAAAGGATTTATATTGTAAACAAGTGATATTTTGTTACCCCCATTCTTGTAGTCACATTGTCAAGTATTTCAGTGTGTTAGAAAACATAAGCTGGGAAAAAAGGAAATGAAGTACAATTTCCATGTTCTAAATAGGTATTTGTTTCCTTCTTGATGACCCATTTCACAGATAGCTTTGTATTTTATATGGTTACATTCTATTAGATCAACTAAACTTATTCCTAATCAAACTCAAATCCTTCTGCCAAAAATTTGAACAACCTATATTGTATTAAACTTATACTCCCAACAAGTCAAATGGGAAATGTGTTCAGGATTTTGCAGGCTTTACTACTGAGGAGACCTCATGTGGCTGGCTTACAGTAAAGTGAATGAGGGTTAAGAGGCTCTAAACTAAAGTGTTTCCTTTATTCTCATGCTGTCTCTGACTTTCCAGTTAACTGGAAGCCAGAGTTCCTGTAAGCAGGTAGTCTGGGTTGTAACAGAGCTATTGGAGACTTGGGAACAATGTGACACTGGTTCCTGGGTCACAGCAGGTGCACACTGAGACTGCTGCTCACAAAAGAGTTGTCCAGTGTGAAATCTGTAACTGGAAATGTGCTGAAGGTAGCCAGGACAATCAAAAATGATTAGTCACTAGACGAGTTCACTGGATCTGAGCAGCATGTGAGATTCAGCACCTGGGTCTCACAGAAGTAAATAAATGGTTGCCTAGAGGATAGATGCAGATGGAGTTACTGACAGATTATTTCTTTGTCTCTCTTTCCAGAAAAGCTGTGATCCTCTTCTCCTATTTACCCACCTTTCCCATTACCTTTTCCTCTCCTTTTTCTTTTTGTGCTCTAATTGTCCATGAAAATTTGCAGATTTAAAACAACAACAAAAAAAAAGCTGCTCAGTAGTATTAACAATATTCCTCCAGACTGTTTCTGTATTAACCCAAAAGCAGGGTTTAAATTCTTACTATGGAGGTGGCTGTGGTTGAAATAAAAGTCTCCCATGTGCAATGACAACAGACTGGAAACATTTTCATCCTGATGTTGGGGGATATTAAAAAAAGTAAATTACTGGAAAGTAATTTTGGTCTGTGTGTTTGGGAACATATAATTCAGTAGAACCAAACTCTTGAACTGTTTTGAGCATCGCTTCCCCAAATGGCAGCAGTGCCCAGCTGAATTCAGAGCAGCTGAAGGCTGAGCATGGCTCTGCTTTACCATTAATCTACACCAGAACTGGCACTGTGCTACTCTGACATTTACTGGTTTATTAGTGGACAATGTGTTTCAAGGCTCACACTTCCACTGCAATACAAAGCTTTTGCTGAAAGAAGTAGTTAAAATTTTGATTTTTCTCACTGCAATCAGCTCACGGAGACTTGCAGCATTCTCCTTTTCCTCTTCTGTTCTTGGTTCTTTTACATTCATCTCTTCCAGCTCATTTTCATGCTTTAAGATGTTATCTATATATTCCTGGTGGAACAATGAAAAGGAACAAGAAAGATGCAGATGTAGACTTAAAATAGATATTTACATTGACATAATCATACCAGCTGCTATAGAAAAGAACACTTTTCTTTCCCCACATTTCTTTAAATCAGTTGGATGGAAAAGAAGGTTTTAAACACACCACCCTACCAGAAAGCTACATGCAGTACAGAACTTTACTAACAGACAGGTTTGTAGGAACAATTTGTTTCCAGTGCCAGTTTTCTTTCACTTGTTTATATCTCTTTAATCTTATAGGAGATGGAGAAAGGAAGAATAATATTTTCTTTAGATCTTGATTTTACTCTGACAAAGTGAAGGTGTGGCTAAAGATTTAAGATACTTCATTCTGGGGAAAAAAAAAATTAAATATTGATTTATGAGCAATGAGGATATTTCCACTGCACATTTATGCAATTATTACAACTGTTTTTTCAGTGCTAATAATTGCAGTTCTTCCTTCCCAGTGTAACAAAGAGCATTCATCTTTCTCTAAGAATCAATAATAGATCTGGGCAATGGAGAGATTCCCCTTGCCATTTTAGTGTGGAACTTTGCCTGTAGTGTTCTTTGAAAGATCAGTATGCAAATTAAAGAATAATTTTTATATATTTATAGACTGATAAACTGGTAACATTTCATTCTGGTAGACTCACATATCCCAAACATGTCTGGGCTGGACAGCCGCCAGTGATTTTTCTATTGCAAGCATGTTTTCTTTGAAATGTAATGGGGGGAAAAGAAAAATTATATAACTGGCTACAATATGCTACAACCTTCACAAATTTCACATGCTGTTAATTTTCAAATTCAATCTGCAATGCCATTATCAAAATAGGTTAAATGAACAAATTACAGGACACATATTTTGTTATTCTCTCATTATTAAGTAATAATGGGGTTTTGACTCTAAAATTTCTTCTAAGAGCATCTTCACAATGTGAATTAAATAAATTAATGTTTTACACCAACACTGAGAAGGGCAAAGCTGCTCACTTTTGGACTCCATCTCAGAACACTGGCACAGGAGGTCTAGCTTGCACCCTGCTATGAACCAGTAGTGACTGGTTCATAGCACTAATGAGGGATGGTCATAAACTTTGTCAGAAGGCTACACAGCTACTTCCTAGACAAAACTCAGACTGGAACCTGGAAATGTTCTATGTTGATTTATGAAAACAAATACATAACCAAAACCAGAGTGTGTCTCAATGACCAAGGTAATTGTAGAATTACGGTGAGCTAGAAATTCTTGTTCAGCTTTCTAAGTTTAAGTGCTTAAGACTTTTTGAAGGAAAACAAACCCTAAGCAAAATAAAAGCAAAGTAACAGAGATCAATATTGACAGCAAGGAAATTATATGTTAGAGTACTGTCTGTGATGTATACTGGACTGGATCTCATGTATTTGGTCAGAAAACTGGGTTTCATAAGAGGTAAGTAAAACAATTGAACTTTTTCAAAAAAATACTTATAGAACATGTCTATATATGAAATAATTGTTCTTCAAGCATAGTAGATTTCTTTTTCTTGGGTATATACTACACATTTATCACACCCAATTTGTCTACTTGTCTGTTTTCTGTTGCTTCTTGGAAGCATTCTTGGAAGAATGAATAAATGTGGTTGAATTACCTTGAGAGAAAGCTGCAGTTTTTCTCTTAGCTCATCACAGAGTGGCTTATACTGGAATAGCTGGCGGATTTGCAGTTTTTTGGGACATTTTCGCACAGACACTGGCAAGGATAATTGTGCTGATCCAATGCTGAGACCCTTCCAAACATACCTTTGGACTGGGGGACCTGTGATCTCCCCCTGAACAGAGAGGAGTAAACAAAAAGAGCAAGAGGCTACTTACATTTCTGAAAAATGCAGCTATTGGCAATGTGTCTCAGACGAAAAGCATGTGCTCTCCTTATAGAATCACAGACAATAAAGCCAGCAGATTCCTGGGAACAATTTATCTATTCTAAAACATCTTCATCTGGTAAAATAAACTCCCCTTAAAATTGCTATATCCCGTCACTAAGTGTAAAAGAATGGGACCATACATTCCCTGACACAGCCTACCCTTTGCTCTGTCTGTTTAATAAACTGAACTTAACATTCATATTGTTTAGAGCTTCATTTCCCCACAGAGACAAACATCTATTGCTTTATTATGAAAAGACAGTTTTGAAACAATTATACCTCAGGAGGAAAGGATTCTTCCTGAGTTCCTGACCGAAGATATGGAGGAACAATACTCTCTGGTTCTTTCTTCATTACCCAGGGGGATGCTTCAGCCATAGGGCGGAGGATAGTAATACTTACAACACCTGGTTTAAAGATACATTTTGCTAAGAATCAGTTCAAGTTAAAAAAAATAAATTAATTTTTATTTGTCTGACTGAGAGTCATGGATAAAAATATGCCATTTGTTTGTTCACTTATCCCTTAACAGCATCCTTCAGTTAATTCTCTGCTTCCTACGGTTTTCCCCCAAACTTCTTTATTTCACTCCTAGAAGTGTGGACCCTTATTTACAAGGGTAAAAACATTTCCTGCCCATATAAGAGTTTTGAAACTTTGCAATTCTTTCTACTAGTAGTCTGTCAGAAAAGAGAAGTTTTCTACCTGGCTGTTCTTGTACAGGATCTCGCAAGACTGCAGTGGTAGGATCACTGCAGGCCTCAGCCATACACTGGTGTACATCCTTTTCTCGCAGGAGCTCCGTTCCAGAACCATCCGCAGAGATGATGAAAAACCTGCACAGCCAAACACACACATGGGGCTCTATCAAGAAAGCAGAACTCCAACATGATGGCATCAAATGTGCAAATACAGAGTACTGAACAAAGGGAGCACAAATCTGTGAACCCTGTACAAATGCTGTGCAGTGAAGAAAAGGAAGTGTTAACCTATGAATGCAACGCAGTTTACCTTGGGGCATGCTCATTATAAGTGATAGGTTTGTTAACGTCCTCTGCTGCTGAACTTCTGTCCTCCTTGCCATCAGAGCCAATGCTGGGAATGCACACATCTGTGCTGCCATCAGCCAGGACCTATGGCAGAAATGATGTTAAATTAATTGAGTTAAAAGATCCTTTTAAAACCGTGACTTGCTGGTGAACTTTAACATAACCTAGCCCAGTGAAAGAGACAGAGAAAAACATTTTATGCTGAGCAACTGGAAACCTCACAGGAAAAAGAAATGAAGAGGAAAACTGAAAAGACAGTAAAATCCCCAAAACGTTTATATAAAGACATGCTGTATCATAAATGCTAATATCACATATTAGCTGATATTTAATAAATGCCCAAGGACTTACACAAAAATACTCTCTCACTGGTCAAGCCAGGTAACTGTATACTCTAGACAGGCATTGATGTACACTTACTGAGTGCACATCTACAGTATTTTCCTTCTTGAAAGAAATATGTGCTTATTAATGAATGTGACATTAATATATTCAAACAAGACAGCTAACAATGACCTAAAAAGGAATAATAATGCCTTTTTCAAGATTCAATTTAAATAAGGGTGATTTAAATGACAGTCCCTGAACTGAATCTGACACACCCAGTTTTTAAGCTATAGTACAAATCATGCTAATTAAGGGAACTTTATTGGTGAGCTAAACTGTACACCACATGTTCTGTTTCAGTCTTTCTAAAAAGAGATAAATTAAAAATAAAAAGGATATCCATCACTTAGTCAAGAAGATATCAGAGACCTGATTCTGGCTACTTTAAATATTACAAGGTTACAATTTGACTTTGAGAGAAGTTTATAAGATAAAATTAGAATATAGAAACTTGTTTTCTTCCATGAATTCTACCTTAAAAGTATTTCCTTTAGGATCCATCATCTCACAAATAGTGCTGGAAGTGTGTTTCATAATGTATCTTCCTGCTTGTTTCTCTTCCTTGCTGCTGAAATTACAAGCTTCATGGCTATAAACTGCTGAGCAATCTTCATCAAAGAAAAGAAAGCCTCCCTTGCTGGGTAAAACCTATGACAGCAAAAAGGGAAGAGATTCAATCCTCAAAGATGAAAACATTAAATTAAAGGTACTGTGAAAATGAAGAACAGATACAAATCAAGAGGACAGCTTTCAGACATTCAATACTGAATCATCCAGTTTAGAGCAAGAGAAAGAAGGAAGAGGTCCAAGAGGTGGGCTGATGTGAGTCTGTAATATTTTACTTCAGGAAATTTAAGACTGTGATTTAAATATACTGTACATTTGTGAGAAAGTATCTAAACATTGGCAAAGTATGAAAGAGACAGAATAATAGGATTAGTGAAGACTATAGAGAAGGGAGGTAATGAAGGTGAGAGCTGCTAATGGCAGGGAATTTGGAACACAAAGATTAAACGTCACTGTCACAGACTAAAAATAATTCCCACCTGATATGTGCCCTGTGGCTTTGCTAGAATAGATGTCCCATCTCCAAAGATAGTACAACAGGTACCATCCTCACAATTTGTTATAACAGTAGCAAACTCAGGATTCTCGACTCGTGTACCTTTGAGTTTCTTTTTGGTGGCTTTTGAGGGTTCATCTAAGAATTAATACAGAACAATGAGACAGGAGCACATGAATCATGGAAATGTCTTGGGATCCAATTTGCTTTTTCTCTCATAGTGCTGGATCTTTATCTCCTCAGTGCAAGACCTTCATAAACTTCATACCATCCTCTATCACATATTTTTATGTTATGTAAACAATATGCAACATTTAAAGTTCTGGACTGTGAATTTAATATAGGAAAAACCCAACAGCAAAAAATATCTGTAACCATCTGCAGCTGGCTAGGAAAGTACACTCTAATGTATCAAGTATGGTACTAACCATAATGATCCAGATATTTGTAATATACAAGTTGGATCACTGAAATTTGTGTCTGTAATATAAGCTTTAAAATGTGAAAAAATTCCTATTCAGCAACACAAATCTTGGAAAACAAATGAAACAGGTATGGTAATCTGGTTATTGCCTTTCCATTGAAGAGACAGATCAGTTCAAGGGTCTCTTGACTTTTAACATCCCACTGGGAGCTATTTCTGAACATTTCCTGCTAACTCAATAATGGTCTTTTCCTACACTGTGTTTGAAGTCCAGACACTCACACAGTAAATGTCCCTTTCATTTTAATTAAGGAGGATGGGACTTGCCTTGCAAATGAAGCAGTCACAGAGAATACAACACCAGCCAGAAGAATCACACATGACCTTTAGCCCCACTTATTTCAGGCAAATATAAGTTTCACTTTTCTTGGAAGGACATTTTTCACAGCTATATTCAGATACTCAGTATCTCCAAGGTTGGTGAGTCCATGGCTTCACTGGGGAATATAAGGATGCCTTGGTCCTTACATACCTTCAGTCAGAACTCAAAGCAGCTTCCTTGTTATTATTAGGGCAGGTGGAGAGAGGGCAATGAACACACTAAAACTCTGGCACTGCAGTCTCATGGTGAAGAAGGACCATATAGGTATGAAAGAAGGCAATTTAATTATTTGCAACAATATTATTTTTGCACCAAATATACTCTTGAAGGAAAGCAAACAAGCTAAGACTAGACTACACTAGTGGATCTGTTATCTAGGCTACTGGTATAAGCCAGCTTTAGTAGTTATTTTGACAACTTTCTGTTTCACAAGATAGGTCAAATGCAAGAAAATTAAGTGCTCCCCTTTTGATGTTACCTGTTTCCACACTACCCTCTGGTACAGAAAGCTTTTCACATTTTTCATAAAAAGTTGTGATCCTGGTACCATCGGCATGCTCTACTACTCTGTTACCACGCATCTTCTCAACAATTATCACGTCATCGTCTCGTACAGTCATAATCTGAAAGAATGAAGGACTAATTTATATTGGCACTGTGACAGCAGCAACAACAATATAACAACAACAATATAACAATAACAATATAACAACAACAATATAAGGCATCAGGACTGAAGCTCTGAAGAAGCTTGACTACCATGTCTTCATCTACTTCAGAGACAGAGGAATCACATTTTCTTCAAAATCTAAAGCTACTGCATTTCTAACAGTGAAATAACACAACTTATAGGACGTTTTCAAAGAACAAATCCTACAACTTATGTGATGGCAGCCCTGTCTCTTAGCTTATATACAGTGCTATAGTAACACAAAAGCAGTAATACCGTTCCATCATCTAGGTTTGTGGACTGATACATTAAGAGTGGCTTCAGATCCATTCTTGTTGCACCCTCTGTGCCCACTCGAATGCCTAATGGAGTTGTTGTTATCCAGGTTCCTGCCTTAGGTTGTGTAGAATTGGCCTTTTCAAACTCCCCACCCTTGGGTGAGCATAATAGACTGTTCTTGTCACTGCTTTTCCCTGCAGAAAAAAAATTTCTGTATCAGACTTGATATTCTTTAAGGCAAAGGACAAAACCAGTGAAGTGCAGAGTTTGTGAACATTGCTTTTGACGGAACTGCAAAGTGAGCTATTTAACAGGCTAGAAGAAAATTACAACTCCTGCTACTCAAAGACATGTTTCTGAACTAGCCTTATCTAATGCGCTTCCTTACAAAAAACCGAAAATAGCATGCTAATGCCATCAGTCCTATGGTGCATCAGAAGAAAAGGATGAAGATCTCATTATGAAAGGCAATTGGAGAGATCTTATGGAGAATGTTATAGAGAACTCTTGTCTCCCATATTCAGGAAATATAACTTAGACTAAGTGTATTCAAAAGACAAGAGCATAGTCCAGAGACCAGGCTGAAAGATTTAGAGCAAATATCTTGCAAAAATCCACCCTGAAACCAAAAAGAGATGGAACTCATCACTAGAAATTTGTCAAGAATTAGCAGAGGAGAAGAAAGGTGGGGAAGGTGAAAAAGTGATCATAAATAAAGGACAGGAAATAAAGGACATACACTGGTCACAGATATTGAGAATTCATATCAGAAAATGGTTTGTCAGAGTTGTTCTCATCTTTGCCGTTATCTAAAGAAATATCCTAAGAAAAAGGAATGGACTTGACTCAAAAAGCCTCTTTTTGAGACACCTTTCTCTTTGGTGGTGATTTTTATTCACCTATTTCCAATAAATTGTACGTCAATGTGACAGGTCAGAATTATCCTGTGTACTAACTAATACTGACAGTGATCTTGGACTACACTCTGAGGTATGAAGTAAATATTATTTGATTTTTTTCTCATTCAAAAAAAATACAGTAAGAATGGCTATATTACCATCAACCACAAGTCCATACAACCAATTGATAATGACCAATATTAGGTGCCTTGGAAAACACAGAGTGAGAAGAAAAATGTATTCTCTGTGAGAGAAGCATTTCTTAATACAAAGACTAAAAACTGTATGACAAAAGTAAGGATTTAACATTACTGTAGTTACAAGGATTTCTTTTTTAAAAGACTTCATGTTCACTCTGAAGCTCTTACACAACTTTTTACTTATTAGAATCCCTGTTAGAAGAAGAAGAAAAGAAATAGGAGAGAAATTATTTGCTATGAAGGTAACATAGCAGCATGCAGCAGCTGAGTACAGATAAAATTGCATTTCACATTGTCAGAATTTTCAGACTAAAGAAATATACTCTTTACTAAGTATCATCAGCCTTACTAACTTTATATCTGTCTAAAACACAAGAAATGTTACCTTTCTTAGTGCTGGTCTCAGATAAATTCTCTGATTCTGGTGAGGGTTGTTTTTTGTCTGGAATTGTAGGTGGTGGTAAGACAGGACCAGAATCAGGGCTCTTACTCACTGTGCCATCAGCAAACAGAATCTACAGAAATCAATGACATACTAAAGGTTAAAATCAATTCAAACACCATTAGAAAGTCTTAGTGTGTCACAAGTGTGAGTCACTAGAATACTGTGTGATGGAGAGGAAAAAAGTAAAATCTCTCATAATGAATACAAGAAATAAAGAAGCTATTTAAAAGAGACTTAATAGAACAGACTATTTCAGTTGGAAGGGATCTACAATGATCACCTGGTCCAACTGCCTGACCACTTTAGGGCTGACCAAGTTAAAGCATCTTAGTGGCATTGACCAAATGCCTCTTAAACATTCACAACCTTGGGACATCAACCACCTTTCTAGCAAGCCTGTTCCAGTGTCTGACCACTATTCTTGGAAAAGAAATGCTTCCTAATGTCTGAACCTTCCTTAGTGCTCCTTTGAGCTACTGCCATGTGTCCTGTCAGTGGATCCCAGGGAGAAGGGATCAGCACGTTCCCCTGTACTTCCCCTGTCAGGGAGCTGCAAGAGCAAGGAGGTTGACCCTCAGCTTCTGTCTCTCCAAAGCAGACAAGCACAGAGCCCTCAGCCCCTCTTCTCAGGATGCACCTGCCAGCCCTTCCACTGGCTTTGTTCTCCTCTGGACTCGTTGCAGGACCTTCCCACCACTCTGAAGTGGCAATGCCCAGAAGTGGCGCCAGCACTCCGGGTGAGGCCGCACCAGGGCTGAGCACAGCAGGGTGATCCCCCCCTTCTGCCCGGCTGTGCTGCCTGTTTGATGCCCCCCAGGACATGGTTTCTGCCCTCTGGGCTGCCCAGGCACACCCTGCTGACTCTCACTGAGCTGCTGCCACCTGCACCCCCAGGGCCCTCCCTGCAGGGCCCTCCCCAGACTCCTCTCCCAGTTTGCACTTGTGCCTGGTGGTAATTCTGTCCCACGTGTAGGATCCAACAGTTGGTTTTGTTAAACTTCATCCCATTAGTCATTGCCAGAAGGAGTGCTATTTTCTGCAGTTCATGGATATAATTAATGGGGATTCTTCTAGGGGTGCTATAAACAGTAAAGATGATTATTCTTTGACTAAATGGTCGTAGGTTAATGACTTTTTTTTTGGTAGCAGTGATAATGCATCTGTATTGACATATTGATCTGTACTGAGATATTCCACATGTCTAGGACAGCTGTTAATTTTTTAGCCATTATGATAGTTAACAAAAAGAAGTCTTGGTTATTTATCTAATTATAGCTGGTTTCTAAGATCCATTACACTCAACTCTTGACATGCATGTTCTCTATGTGTCAGATAAACTCTCTAGAGTCTAGATAGAACTACTCCAACCATTCCTAAATTAATTTATAAACACAGTAAGATGTATAAAAGAAATGGACAACATATAGAAACAGATCTTGAAATTGTTACTGTATGGAACAAAATATTTCTTCTTTTTTGAATGTTTATCATATGCAATGAATTTCTGATGATTCATAGACATTAAGTTAATATTAGGAAGGATGCACTCATAATCTTTTTAAACAAAGGCTGCTGTAAAATCATGCTAGGCACATAAGATCTACATTTTTCTACCAGAAAACAGTATGTTGAGAATATACAGATATACAGCAGCTACTTTCGCTGCATATTTCTCAAAGGGATATATTTCTCAGGAATCCTGGCTAAGTGGCTTAACATCTAGTGCAGGTCAGGTCTTTCTGGAACCCATATGACTTTTTAGACTGAAAAAATATATGGATGCTTTCATATTGCCAAAAATACCCAAAGCTGAACTCATCCATACTTCAGATGCTAAAATCTAGGAATACCATTTTCTGAACCATATTCAGCTATTTCCTAATCACAAAGTTGCCTGAAATTTTCACATGCCTGAAATTTTCACATGCCTGAAATTTTCACACTTAAATTTCCCTAAGTTCTGACTCTGGACAAAGTGAAGAGTGTTTTAGCCTTGACATGGAAGCATAATTCAGTATTACTTAACTCCTTCATCTACAAACTGGACACTTCTCGATCTCAGTAGACAAAAACAAGTTTAAGGGTAATCTTCCATCACATTGCAATGTACTAAATTGTAGTGCTTGCAATGAATTCTACCAAACGTACCTGGGTAGATCCATCCATCAGGTACTTTATGACAGTTCCTTGACTAGTGATGACCCTTGACACCTCTTGTTCTGTTTGCCATGACAGAGGTGAATAAAGGTGAGAGTTCTTTACCATTTGGGGATAACTCTGTCTAACCACAATTTCCAGAGTAGGCTGCTCAGCCTGTTCACTTTTGGTGTCTTCATGCTTTATTTCACCTTCTGTAACCTGATGTTCCTCCTCTGCAGTTTGCATAACCTCTTCCTCCTCTCCTTCATCTGCTTTGGCCTCACTTTTTTCTACCATCTCTTTCTCTGCTTCAGTGGAAGTGGCTTCACCTTTCAAATCTGAAAGCAAACTCTGAATTAATACTGCATAGCACACATTCAAACAGTGCTACAGACCCAGCAACATGGTGTCGACAGAAGACATGCAACTTTAGCTGAGTAAGACTAACCCTCCTTGGCTGAAGCTATAATCCACATGGTAAAAGACAGACTGATTTCAGAGCAAAGTTTGAAACAGTCACCTACTCAGAAACTCTGCATCTTCCTGTAAAGGTGGATATCTTTCCAAATGAAAACTAGGGAAATTTGAAGATAGATTTATTAGGGATGCCAAACTTTTGGAAGACTTACATCAGGTGAATGGAATTCCCTAATTGCCCATAAAGGTGAAAAAAAAAACCCAACTGAGTTTCACCAAGTTTGAATTTGTTATAGAAACCCAAGTAATGTACTCTGTCTGCTTGAGCAAGTAAGTTTTTCAGATTAAATGGTGGCAGTGTTTTCAGTATGCTAATGAGTATAATTATGATAATTGTATTGAGAGACTCCATGTATGTGTCTGTAATCGCTTTGCTCACTTCAATTACTCAGGATTTCAACTTACGCCTCTTGCCAAACTATGTATGCTTGAGAACACTCTGCATGTTCCTTAGTTCATGTCAGATTAATCATTTACTGGGCTGTACAGATTTGTTGTACATAGGTATTAAATGACATCTGTATATGCCTGATGTACAGATCTGGTTTTTAAAACTAACTAGATGACAACAAAATTCACATTTGTCTGCTTCAAAACCTAATAGCATGACTAAAAAAAACCCCAAGATTTACTACACTTTACAACATGTAAAGATGAACCTAACACATTTTCAAAAAAACTGGAAAAAATAATTATTGCAGAATATTTGTCAGGCACAGAAGCTCTAAAGTATCCATATACCCCATCAGTCTTCTAAAGGAAATCTAATGATAAGGGCAGAAAGGCTTATTGTGTTTTCTCTGTATGTACTGGATGGCATAAACCAAAGGACTTGTGTGAAATAATTCCTGTTTGAAACTGATGGCATCTTTTAGAAAAGCAACAAAAAAACCTGATTGTAAAACATCCAGTAGCAGAGACTCCATCACAACCTTGGTTAGGTGTGCTAATCACTCTCCATTTAGGAGTGTAATGTTCTTACCAAATGAGTACAACTTAGATCTAGTATAAAGTCGTAGTTTTCAGTTTCAAGACCCTGAAAATTGTAACAAGTTTTTATACTGCGTTTACAAGCTATCACCAAAATTCTGCATCCTTGTACTTCAGGCTAGCACCAGTCACTTCTTCAACCTTTTCTCTGGCAATTAAATGGAGTTCTTTGGTGAAATGAGCTCATTATAAGATACGTTTTCTGATGCTTTAATAATTTTTGTCATTCTTCCCTGTATCTTTCAAATTATTAACATTTTGTCCTGGGACTTAAGTACATATACTTTCAAAGGAAGTGCAGATATGGATAATGTAACCAACTTCACGCCATCATTCAAGTTTCCTTAATATATATGTATTTATTTATTGAATTTGCTTGTTTTTCTTTTGTATTCCAAACTACATGCATATTCAATGATTATCCAACATGACTCCCAAGGGCTTTTTAGGGTTGCTACTTCCTTTGCCCTCAATCTTTTATGTTCAATAAGTTGTGATTCTAGATTTTATATTTGTTTGAATAAAAACATACTGTTCATATTGCAAATCCTATTAAATATGCATTATGACAGACTTAGCATTCTGACATGTTAAAAACGTTACTGTTACATCTAAACCCATCAATGAAGAAATCATTTTCTTCTCTAGTCTTAGCTTCTCTTAAATTCCTTACTTTGCAGTGTCTCAGAAAACTAACCTCGAAACCTTTCACCGAGAAAAGTCAGTACAAGTCCATTGGGACAGGAGACATTCAAACTTGGAAAAGCAGGAGCATCTGACATCTCTTGTGTTTGGGGAACTGGTTCTTTCTTTTCCATCTACAGAATGAAAAATTAATTAAGTTCTATTCCACGTTTTAAAATAATAAAGAAAAAATGAGAGTACAGATTTAGTCTGTACAGATTCCATTTTAACAATACTATTTTTTTTTAAAGAGCTGTTTACCACACAAAATATTTAACATTTTTAGAGTTTATGGATTCAGAAGTGGAAACTTTAGTTATTTTCTTTGATTATGCTGTCTTTTTTCATTCACCTTGAAGAATCATCCCCTCAAAAACCTATGTAACAATGGACTGCACTAGGCCTGTAGTCATAAGATGAAAAAGTTTTGAGTTGCATACATAAGTAACAGAAAGAACTTGTCCTGGTATTATCCCATATTCTTGCTTTTTAGCAACAGAAATAGAGCGGGGGGAAATGGCAGATATTTTGCCACCTATTTTTCAGCATAAAAGATGCTGTAAGGTTTACAGTTAATTTACCTAATATTACTGGTAATTAAGGCTACTCTCAATACCCTAAGATTGTAGTCAGAGCATCATGAGGTAGAAATCACAGAATAGGGCATAAGTAACCCTCAGTTGTCATCTACTTCTCCCTAATGGTAAAAACAATAATTAAGTGTAACTATACCATTAGTGAAAAATTCTAATGTAATGTATCCTAAAGACTTTTCCTTAATTAACCTCACTGACATTTTCCCACTGATTCACTTGAACCGCTACTGCAAAAAATCAGTTTACCTCTAAATACTTCTGATAGTGATACAAGCTCACATAAGAGACGATGGGTTTTTTAGGTCTTTACAGAAGACTACTCTGTCTCTCAATTCAAGATCAAACCCAAACCAATTCTTTTAAAGCTCTCCCACTGGATAAATTTTCTAGACCTGTAATCTTAAAGCTTTTATTAAAACTTCAGCATGGCCCATATTTTTCTTGCAGTGCAGTATCCGTAACTGGACATAATACTTCAACTGAGACTATACCAGCTCTAAAAGAAAAATAACTTCACATATTTACCAGACTATACTCCTTTGTATTCCCATCTCAGTGGTCTTTGCCCTTCTCACAGGAAGATGGCATTGTTGACTTACAGATAACTTGTGATCCATGACAACTCAGACCTTTCTCTATAGAACTGTCACTGCCACAATTGTTATGTATTTTGTAGACATAATAGACTGATAATTTATATGTGTAATTGTAGAACCTACCTCTTATTCTTACTGAATTGCATCCTGTTTTACAGACCATGTCCATGTGAATTTGTCAAGTCCCATTTGGATTCTAATCTGATTCTCCAAAATAGACTCAGGTGCTGTATGTACCAATATGGATACTCTCTATCCAAGGTAATTCCAAATCAAATAGTTAAAAGCCTTTTGGTTTAGAAGTCATCCTGACATATTTTTAATTATAGGGCTAATTTTCTATAGGGTTTGTTTGTTCCACACAATTGCTGTATGTTATGCTGAGTGTTGTTTGGCAACTCCCTACACCACCTTCCATACTGAAATTAGTTAAGAAGCCCTTTTTGTGGATATGCACAGAATCTGTTTTACAACAACAGCCACAGTGTTGCTTCAGCTAAAAACTACTTCAGAACAGAAAATCAGAATGAATCTGCTTTCCAAAGATTCATTCCAAAGACCTGTAATATGATAGAAGTACTTCGGTTAAAGGAAAAAGTAACTTCCTCAAATTGCTGGTCCCTGGCTTGTTATCAGCCGGAAAGACCAAATTACAGAGAAAGATTCTGCAAAACTGTCTTCACTAATTTGCTGGTTAGCTAGACTTTTGAATATGGGTTTCAGGAAGCATAAAAACTTCTGCTTGGTTAAACTAAAAATGTAGCAGTTCTTGTAACTGAGATAATAATCAGAATGGTTCAAGTTGGAAGGGGCCTTAAAGACTGTTGAGTTCCACCCCCCTTCCATGGACAGGGACAGTTTCCACTAGACCAAGGTGCTCAAAGGCCCATCCAACCTGGCCTTGAACACTTCCAAGGATAGGTCATCCACATCTTCTCTGGGCATCTGTTCCAGTGCCTCAACCACCTTCACAGTAAAGAATTTCTCCCTAATATTTAACTTAATCTTTCAGTTTAAAGCCATTTCCCCTTGTCCTGTCACTACATGCTCTGGTAAAAAGTCCCCCTCCAGCTCTCTCATAGCCTCACTTAGGTACTGGAAGGTGCATTCTAAGGTCTTCTAGAGTGTTCTCCAGGCTGAACAACCCCAACTGTTCCAGTTTATCTTTGCAGGGGAGGTGCCCCAGGCCCCTGATCACCTGCAGTGTATCAGCTGTAACTGTAAAGCCAAAATTGACAAAAGTATGTGGGCCATGGCAGATTCAATGCTTTACGTCAGAGAGTCATAAAGACTAAGTTCATTAACAGCTGCCAATACATTCATTTGAGAACAACTGAAAGAGTAAAACATAGCCTTAAGAACACCACAGATTGTTAGGAATTTGTAAAGGCACAGCTCAAAGCCCTCTGAGAAGAATATGTATTTCATTTACAGAAGTTCATGCATTTGATTTTTTGTTTATTTGGATTGGATATTTGTGTCTTCTCTCACCTTTTCTTCTTCTTGCTGTACAAGGTTATCAGGTGATGAAGGGGCTAATTTGCCACGGTTTCCTTTGGCAGAAGCTTTTACTGATTTTTTTCTGTCAACCTTATCTTTTTTTGTAATGGGAGAAACTGCTGTCGGAATTATGGTCGGACCATGAACAGAAGGGATGTTCAGAATTCTTGTTAAGACAGGACCTGTTTCCTCATCTAAGGAAGGGAAAAGCAATACTTTCAATGTAATTAAGTTTCATAAATGTAGATGGCCACATGGTACTTTTTAAAAAGATTTTATGCTAGGTTTTACCTTAGAAATAATAACCTCAGTGGGGGAGTGTGTTATTTCAGATAGAGGGACTAAAGATACGAATATTTAGAAAATCTTTTCACAGAATGACAACTTATTAGCCTAAAAGACACCTTGAAGCTAGTGCTTCCCACAAGCTGTCACTTGGTCATCGCCTCAAAAATAAAAAAATATGATTTTAAAATTCTCTTTTACCTCCAGAATACTTAGAAGTGGAGACATTCTGAGTCTAGTACCTAGTAAATGACTATGCTGTGTTATACTTTATCATGGGCTGATCCAGCACAGACTGACTCTAGAAATTTTGTACTACATAGGTCTATTCTGCTATAATTCATCAGAAAGATTCTAATGATCTAGACTTGACAAGACTCTTGCAATTCTTCAAGCCAAGCATTAGGACAGCCTGCTAGGCATGTCAACAGGAAGTAGTCCTGTTGCCCTTCAAAACAATTTATTGAAAATAAAAGAAATACAAACTTACATTTTCTCTAATTATTTCAACAAACTGACACTTCTCTTTCATTGAAATTTCACCCATGCCTTTATTTTGGTTGACATAAAAAGACAAGGAGATTATTTCTAATATAAATGTAAAGTGATCAGAAGTTATCCTTTGATAATGCTGGATAAATCAAAGAATTATTCAAAACTTGAAGAAATATTAACATTTCCTCACAAAATAAAATAAAAAGTTGTATAAAGCTGAAAGCCAACTTGAGCCTTTTGTCACCTTAGCTTCCCTAAAATGAGGATGAAATAGATAAAGTGTGAAAAGCAGTAAGAAAAATGAGAATTAGAGAGTTTCCAGAAAACTATTTCAGTACTGCAGGGAAAAAGGGTAATTTGCACACAATTTAACTGATCAGTGGAGAGAAACTGCAGATTTCATGGTATACCATTCTGCTCTAGGGATGGATGGCATATGAGAATCATCTAAGAGAGCATTTCTGGTCAGAATTATTCTGAGCACTTATGATACAAAGACCCACGGGAATTTGGAACAAACAAATGATCACAGAAAAACTGCAAGCAATCAAAGAATGCCAGCTAGCAGTGCTCTAAAGCTCAACATGGCAATGATTATTCTAATATAGAAGAGGATGATTATGGTGAATGTGAAAAAACCTAAACATCACAGCTGACATGTAGGTGTTTAATCAGATGTGTCTCTCTTTTAGGCCAAAATCCAAGTTTTTTGCAGGCCCCTATTGTGAATGCTCTCTCTGTCCAAGTCTAAAAAACCTTTTTTTAAGTAATTAATTCGTAAAATATATTTGAACAATTAAAACTGAGTGTAGAGTTGAATGGTTTACCACAGTCCACACAAAGATGCATTCAATTAAATGTTTTCATATTTTAAGAGCTGAAAAATCCTGGAGTTATTTTCTGATCAGAAAAGGGTTTCACTTTTATCCATAAGATGGTTTCAGTGGCCTTTCAAACGTAACGGAAACAAAAAGCTCTTGGTAAAAGCAGACGCTGTTTTCACTGTGGTTTTCTGAAGCAATTGCTTCCAGTTGGTGAATGTGTTTATTGAAAGGCTGAGAGAAATCCCTCATTATGTCTGCGCAACTGTAACCTAAAGTCCAACTCCTAAAGTAATATGAAAGTTCCATAATCACCTATATAAGTTTACAAAAATATTATTTCTTGGAAAACCAAGAAGACTCCTCAGAAAATCACATTTTCTTTGGCTCAAATTAATTGGCTGATTTTGCTGGGCTACTTAATAACAATACTTGCTCTGCTCTGTTTTCACAGTAAGCAGAAAAGCTTGGAGACCTCCCTCCATTTTGGAAATTGAATCATAGAATATTCTTGACAATGTAATCTCATTTTGAGACTTTCTGAAAATTCTCCACCATGTGGCAACAGCTGCTGAGAAAAGCAGAATTGCATGCAACAAATTATTGGGTTAAGAAGTGTATGAAGGGAAAAAAAAAGGAAAAAAAAGATCCCCCTATGGTTCTCAAATATCTTCTTCTATTTGCTTACTTTACCTGCTGGCTCCCCTGTAGGTCCATAATAGCTCAGAGACAGCTGGATTCCATTTTCTAAGGTGGCTGAAAAAGATCCAAACTTGCTCAGACCTTTCTTTTGATTTTTCAGTTCTCCTTAAGGAAAAAAAAAAATTAAAAAAAATAATTTTAAAGATAGCAACACATACTAGAACCACCTGACTGGTGTCTGGACTGACTGGAAACCAAAGGTTGGTGTGAAAAGTGGAACCTCAGCGAGGATGACTAACTTAAATAGACTAAATAGACTAAATAGGGCAGGGAAAACCAACATTCCATTCATAGGGTACTATATATAATAGCCAGTTTTGTGCAATACACCTGTGGTTTTCTATCCAGAAGTAGCATTCTAATTAGCTAGGTGTGTAAAAACAGGTTTAATAGCAACAACTAGTGTAAAGCCTTATGGAATTTAAACAGCAAAAGAACATAGTTCTGAAGTTATGGATCCTTGTTTCTTGGCTGACAAGAATGTTAAAGTGCCCACTTCTATTGCATGTGGCCTATGCACTGATAAAAATCACTGTCCCTCACATGTTGTCACAGGGACAGGAGCTGAACATCAATTATCCCTGAGGGTCCCTTCCAACTCAGGATATTCTATGATTCTATGTGTGTACTTTGAGGAGAAAGTGAAAGAAAGGCAAAAAGCTGAGAAATTAGATCCAAAGACACGTCTGGGATTTGTAAAGGTGGATCAGAAGCCAAACTCACTTAGAGGTGCAGACCAAGGTGTCATGTGATAAGTATGTCATGGTGAAAACCACATGAACTAGGCAAGATACACTTCCTAAGACACCGGGTCCTATCTTGCCTCTACTTCAGCTGCTAACTACTTTACTGCCTTAAAGAAATGCTCTGTTGGTAAGAGAAAAACTTGGGATTTCCCATATGGGGAACAGCTTCTTAAAATGGTGAGGAGTAGCAGAGAAGACTACAAAAGAAGGTTAAGGCATGCCAAGCTATCCCCCAAACTCATCAACATGGGACACATCCTGAGACCTTGTCTGCTCTTATTTCTTGTCTGTCATTTCAATGCTTATTGCTGAATACCGTATGCAGGATGGTGTTTTGGAATTTTGACTGCTTTACACATTTACCATTGTACCATCAAGCCACTGTCAAGTATCAGAGTGGATTGATTCTTGTCCTCCCTGCTGCCTTTCTATAAGGTGCTCCTGTTTACATGGGAGGAAAGTCTCGCACTTGTGCCCAGTGAATACAACTTGTCTCAGATACTCACACACTGGTTATTGCCAGTACTGTCAGGCAGACCCCAGAATTATACAGGTCAGCTGTCAGAAGTGCAGACAAAAAAAATCTTGTCTGTGGAAGGGATGCAAATTTTGTATTAAAACAACCTACAATTACATCGCTGGTAAGCCAAGGGGAGAAGCAAGAGCAGGATGCTTTTGAACACTGATGAAGATGAAAAGAGCTAATATGTCTAAGTTATCCTTTTCCAATACTCTTCAGTTTGGTGACAGCAGTTCCATAATACTTTCGGCAAACATATACACAAATTATTGCAAACTGGCTTCCTTCTTGGAAACACTCTCACCAGGGTTCAGAAAGAATTTGGATTCAATGTTTTCTGAGTATTGTATGAATGTATGCATACATACATACATGCATACTGTTGTTGAGTATGTCAAGCAACAGTAGAAGTTGGTGGATTGCAGAAAGATCTGTTTTCAAAGCAAAGGTCTTGAGGAGGCAGTAATGTTATGGTCATGTGACCCACAAAAGGAGGTCTACATCAAAAGGAGAAATCTTCCTTTTCAAGGGCAGGTATTTACTTTGGTCACAATGGGCAGGATTCAGTTTTCATCTTCCTGGGCTTTCTCAGGCCACGTTAAGATATGAAGGGTCCTCCACTGAAGAAGAAAACTATTTTCTTAAGGAATGGTGATTTCCTTTCTCTGGAAAAGAGACTGGTTTGCACATACTGACCTGCACTGTGCTTTTACATCTTGCTAAGAGCTCTCTCTACCGTGCCTAAGTCAGCCAACTGGATTTTCACTTTGTTTTATGGAACACTGACTTTTCTTACTCTCTGCCATTAGTAACAATATATTTTCTGTTAGTTGATAAGTTTTACATCCAAATATGAAATATGTCAAACTATTAATTCTTTATATCAGTGATATCAATCCACTGACCTGATTTAATTTGCTGTTCTTCATTAATTTCCTGCTCTTCAGCTTCTTTGAAGTTTTCCTTGGGGTCTGTGATATGAATTAAGAAATTGTGGTTGTCTTTTATTACCTTCACCTTTATCAGAGTTTCTGTAAATGCAGAAATGGAATACAATTATTGCTTCCACCAGGCTTCAGAACTTATTTGCACCCAAATAAATGGTGCACCTGCAACTTTAAAGCACTCAAAAAAGAAAATTTCTCATAACTGGACTGAATTGTGTAGTAGAAAACCAACGTGGCAAAATTAGGGTTATCTGAGTTTAGAGTAAATATTTTAAAACTTCCTGATAATTAAATCTGAGAGTCTGCAGAAGAATCTTCTGCTTAGATATATTGCATTTGACTGGAAAAATAATTTGAACATTCTGGAAATATCATGCATCAGTTGCCATTGAACAAATAAATCCGAACCAATTTTTCTACATTTCTAGTTTTCTGGTATTTCATTTATCTGTTAACTGTTAACATAATACAGGTAACTGTAAAGATTAGTAGAGATGCAGCCTAATATGGAATTTCTTCAACTGAATTTTGACTGCTAGACATGAAAAAGCATTTATGGATTATGAAATTATTCCTCAGTTAGCACTGAGTCAATGCAAAGCATAAAGAAAAAAATAATCACTTTTTACAAACTCTATCTTCTCTACTTGAATCTGTCCTCCATCGGATGGGAAAAGATATTGATTGGTTCCTGATACTTGAATGACATCATCCCCTGTATTGTAGCCATGAAACTGGAAAAAAACAAGTCTTAAATTATCTGTAAACAAGAAAGGCAGTACACATGAAAGAGGTAAATGAAGGACATATCATCAGGATCACACTGTATTGCTCCACACCTTTTGCTTAGAAATTTAACTAATGTAATGAAAACTTGACCAAATATTTAGCATGCTATTGTCATACCCAAATATTTTCCCAGTTATTAACTGAAGAAAATTGTTACATGTGAAAACCATCATAGAAACTGATGAGTAGCAAGTAGACTGGTGGGTTAACACAGTGTGAGAGAAAGAAAATTTCTGATGAAGTACAAACAGACAAAGTACAATGCCATGGGGTCATATAAAGGGCAGGTAAAGATTCAGCTTTCTACCCTGTAGGTTTTGGAATTCACACACTGTAAATCTAATTAGATTGTTATGCCTTCCAGAGTGCCACAAGAGGGCAAAAATTATCTGAGTTTGAAGCCTGTACTTAAGCAAATTTAGACTGAATTATATTGATGTATGCAAGTTTTGGATGCAAGACACACTCTGCAAATACAAGGTGGTGCAAACTGCTGAAAAACTGTTTGAACTAAACTACCGAAGAGCTCTCTCTATTAGTGCAACAAGAAGGGGAGCTGCTGTCTCCATTGAACTGTCTAGACAGGAGTTCCTGGGATTGCTAGTGACATGAAGCACAATTACAGTTTAGATTTGATGTGCTTTAATCTCCAAGAGCGAGCTGAGCTCTACATTTTCTGTTGCGCACATGCCAATGGAGTTACTTTCCGAAATACAGTGAAAATATGGATTTTAGATAAGGGCACTTCAAGCTTGAATTTTGAAAGAGGAAATATAAGACACAGTGATTTCCAGTGTGGACAGTCAAAATTTCAACTAGGTACAGTAGTTCCTTACTATGGAAGGTGGGACAGGTTCTTATGTTCCCCTTTCCTATCCCACAAAAATCTCAATGATCAACTTATGTTAGTGTTCATGTCATATTACACTAAAAAAAAGAATAAATTAAATAATCTGGTGTAGGATAATCTTGAACATCCAAGAATTGCTTTCAAAAATTTTTAGTAAAGGATCTGCTGCTAAAACAAGGGAGGTAACAAGACTCAGTTGGGCAACTTTGCCCTGAACTCACATTTCACAACAGATAATAGCCTTGCTGTAATCTTGACTCTATAATACAACTCCTTACCTTATAAACTTTCTCAGAAAATGGTTCTGGAATGCTATGATCCTCCTCAAATTCAGGGTCTTTTGCTGACTCATTTTGAGACATCTTTTCAGAAGGATTTTTGTTTGATTCTTCACATTCTTTATTTTTATTATCCCGTCCTTTCTTTTTACTTTGCAATTTTTCTTCCCTTTCTTCCTTTTCTCCTTTTTCTTCCTCTCGTAATCGGTCCTGCTCCATCTTCCAAGCCTACATTTAACATTAGGAATTAAACAGACTGTGTTTATCTTTGTACTACAAGATATTTCATATGTGCATGCTGAAAAGAATAGAAGCAAACAAAACCAAATCAATGTTCAAACAAAAACAAAATCAAAGTTCTCAGCTAAGACATATTTCAAAAGTCTTACAATATTATGTGCCAAATTTTGGATAAAATTACTGATTCATTCAATCTACAACAGCAGCCATTATTCACCACAGGAGATGAATCAGGTGATTATTCATATCTTACACAATCAGTCACAGGAGAACAATTTCATTGAATACTTTTCCACAATGTTTACCACCAAACCACAATGTATCACTGGTATAAGCTTATTGCCCAAATGCAACTGTGAGATAAAATTATTTTATTTTTTTACAGAAAGAGGAATGAGGTATCAATGCCAAAATTATCAGCTTGCATCAGGAAGACATTTGAGATTTTCTGGAATATTTAGGGTCTTGCAGTACTTTATAGTATAAACATACAAAAGCAGAAGCATTTCTGGGGAAGAAATGGCAAGCATTGAGAGTTACAAGTCAGGTGTTAGCCTCAACTGAGCTGTGACAGTTAACCCCATTTCCTATCTACGTTCCATGTCAGGACTTGAATTGCACAGTGTTACACACTGTGGGGAAGATGAGACATATGTTTGTGAGGAGTCAAAAAAAAGCAGGGGAATATAATACCGATAAATGAGATTTGTGCAGATTAATGAATAATACCAATGCTAAGACCTAAACAACTGTGTGCTTAATCCCTACCTCAGCCAGAAATCTACTGTGCAAACCTGGGCAAGTCAATTAATCTGTAGTGAATGGTCATGGACTAAATCTATAAAATGGGATTCACTGACATAAGGGAACTCTGAGGTACCATATTTACATTCCCTAATTTCAAAGAGCTGTAGACAGTAAATGTACTGTTGGGTACACAAGTACTTACCTGGATCTGGATCTTATCTTTTCATACCTTTAAAATCAGAAAACTTCTGTAAATAGTTTTCTATTTATATAGGGATATTCTATTTATATCTAGGATAAAATCAGTAGGATATTATCCATAACTTTAATTTCCTAGTATTGAAACAATAAACTGCTTTGGAATTGCCTAGTCTAACTCCGAATAGTCTTCCCTTAAGAAAACAACACAGCATGACTCACAGTCAATAAGGAATAAATTATAGAAAATAACATATAAAAGAAATAACAACAAGCAGAAAAACTAAGAGGACTCAATCAAGCCTACATAAAGAACAAAGGCTTACCTTCCCAAGAAAGCAGTGCTATCTAGTTAATTTCAGAAATATTTGCCTCACCTTCAGAGAATCTTCTCTGATAATGAGACTTTCTTCACTCTTGGATTGAGACTCTGTTATATTCTGAGGTTCAGGTGTGCTGCCTTTGAAAAGTGAAAAGGAGAATAAGCAAGGTTATAAATATAGGAAAACAGAATAATTTTTAAAAATGGGGGGGAAAAAGATGTGCAAGTAAATAAAAATGCATATTTAAAAGCAGAAAAAGCGTAACTGTACAATAAAGCAAACCTTAAATATATTTAGAAATAAAATATAAAGTCTGTTTAGGTTAGAAAAAACTTGATTCTCATAACTGGGGACCAATTACACTAAATAATATATCAACAACATGTGTAAAGACTGGGTCTCTGCTTCTTGCTATTGGAGGCTTTGTTCTCACAGTAAGTTTGTTTTAAACTGAGCCAGAACAAGCTCAACACCGGAGTCATAGACATTGCAACCTTTCAGGACAAAGAACCCAAATAAATGCCATCTGAACCTTCAAACCTTCACTAAAGAAACACTCACCATATCCCTCATTTACTACTACGGCTTTTTAGCATCTATGACGTATGAAAAGCGTAGCTTCTATAAGTGTAGTTTTATATTATGCTTGGATATTTACCTTCTAGAAAAGATAATTTAAAGAACACTATCAGAAACTTCTAGTTAAACTACTTTGTATGATAAAGTACAAATTGCAGTGTCAGTGAAATTGAAAACACCTAAGGACACCGTTGCCCATCCGCATGTTCCAGCTAGAGGTGATTATGTCTTTTCAGCAAGTGAACTACTCCATGAATCATAACTGTCACGATGCACCACGTGGGCAAGATTCAATCTAGCTCCTGTGACAGCTAGATATGTACAAATTATGATTTAGTAGTCATAACTGTACTTTAAGTTTCCAAACTATAATCAGAAGTGTTAACTGGGTTGAGGAGTAATGTTTCTATTTTTGTAAATGCTAACTGCTAGTCCTGGGAAGTTTCAAAGTACATTCTCAAAAAAGGTAAGAAAGCAAAGGTTAAACATAAACAAATAATTGTTAACACCATTTAAATACACAAGTAGCCAATTTTGACAAAAGTTCTTTTTTGTCAATAAGGGTTTTCAGATTCTGCTGCCTGCTGAACAGTTATTGTATGAACTGCTTACAATTTTCACTACCCAAAATGTTGCTTGTAATTCAAGTTTGCTCTGCAGTCTTGTCAATTCAGGTTTCCAGTTTTAGCTTCTAGCCCACATCTTCTGACTTCCAGCTTTTATCCTGCCCTTTAAAAAGGAATTCTCCTGCACCATGTTGCCAGCTTTAACTACTGCTCACCTCTTCATATGTTCAGTCATCTCAACAGATTCATATTTGTATGTAATCCTTAATCTCATTAGATAAGCACAGTGATTGAAAATGCAAGTTGATACCAAAGGTGTCAGTTTTCAGAACAAAGAAAGATGCAGAATACATAAATATAGTGATTTAATTAATTCCAAAACATATTTATCCCTATATAGATATCAAAACAGGGTCATCCTATGAAAAAACATAGGCAATTCTGCTCTGAACAAATTTGTGTCTCAGCACTTAGAGTGAAAATTTAATTTCCTAGAATACAAAAACAAGATATCCACTTCTGGCTTTCTTAGTAAAGCCAGTTTTTTGACAGCACTGGCACACAGTCCAAGAGGGCCTTGTGCTGTGGCTTTTTCCAATTTAAAAAACTCTATTTCCTTACCCATCTTCTCTTTTTGGTATTTAGCTTCTTCTTCTTTCACCCAGTCTTCAATTGAGTCAGCCACCAGCTCAAGATAGTTCCTGAAAAGCAAATTATCCCTCTATTTAATATAATACAGTTTTCACTAATATGGCTTCAGGTCAAACAAGATCACTTGGCTTCTCAGTTTCTTATGCAATGATTATTCTCCAGTCTTTGAGACAAGTCTTGTATTTGACAGGATTTCTCTCAGTTTTTACAGGAACTGGTACTTTTGCCTGGCTGGTATTTGCTTAGTATATGCTATACTTGAAATTTTGGTTATCCTTTCCGCAAAGAAATGTAAGAAACTTGTCTGCCAAAGAACACTTGCTCCTAAAGAAAAATCCAGGAAATCAGAAAACATCAAGGCATTCATTTCCAAAAGGTTCAGAGCCATTCTCATCCTCACTGTTTTACCACTGAATAACTTAATTTCTTAGTTGCTCTTGATTGATGTTGATTTTTAGAATATGCTTAAGATGTTTGTTTAGAAACTGAAGTGTTATTGTATGCAATACAAGCTCTTCTTTATCAGTTTGACAAGAAGGGTGTTTGGAAATTGTCATCCAAACCCAGATGAGAGAATCAGTGTACCATAACCTGCCATGAATTCAGAATACTCACAAGTAACAATTAAGTTGAAGTGAGAACTGAATGACAAACTGATCCAGAGTTTGATGCTGGCATCTGCAGTTGCATTGTCTCATCTTCCAAAGGTGTCTGAAATGACTGCTAAAGTAGCTCACTGTAAACAACTGCTTTCAAGAAAGAAGGAAGCCTGGGAATCTTATATCCAACTACCACTCAACCCCTCATTTGGAGTTTTATCACAATTCTTGAAAGTAAAATTCTTCATGTGTGCAAAATTGAAAGGAGCTTTTGAAGAATGCATCTGATTCAGTTGCCTAGTCTTCATGATATTTTGTATTTACAAGTTCAAGATGATTCAACTGTATTCAAAAATTCTATGTGGAGTAGAGGCTTTTGGGTATGAACATGTAGACAATACAATCAATTCTTGACCTCATGTCAGTTTTAAAGTTCCTTTTGCAGCAGTATGTCCAAGAGAATAAATATGTAGGTCATGTACACAGGCTGGAATACACAGGTCAGTTACAGCTTCCAGATATACAAGTCTCTCCCAGCTTCTGCAATGTAGCTGGAGTCTGCTTTGGGAAACTTGCATGGAGAACAGTTGATCAGATGTATACTCAGTAGGGAGAAAGTTATTCTGTTCATATTTGAAGAAAAGTGTACAAGCTATAAAAAACTATGGTGTTGAAAACAAAAGGCAAAACTAGTCTGGAATATGGAGTTACCAGTTCTGGAATAACTTGAAGATGAATATATGTTATAAATAAAAAAGAGACTATTCGTGTGGAAAATATTTTAGGCCAATGAAACAGTCATTCAAAGTCTAAAATACACATTCTATTAATATGTATTCTGATGTCACTACTGCCAATGTCTGACTCAGAAGCATTTCTCAGAAAGGATTATTCTTTTCCAGTAACTTGTGTAATGTGTTTACTATGAAACTATAAACAAATGTCATTAAGATTAACTTTGAGCAAAATAATGATTTTGATAATGCCTGAATACATCTGTCTTCCTGATAGAGTGGTCACTTATTCTAATCAGAATTAAAATGTTTTCTATACACACTTATCATTGCAGGTACATGTGACCATGCCTTGGATTCCCTTACTTGGTGGCATTCATTAGATTTCACATGCAGCCTCCTGTTGCCGACCCTTTAAACAGTATAATTTCTGAATTTTGGATGTTCTACATGAACTACAGGACCTGATATCCATAAAGAAAAAGGAAGGTAACTGGGATCTCCAGGAGCAAAAGCTGCTGCAACATCAGAAATTTAATTTCCCCTTTGCATGACAATTTGCTGTAACAGGATTCACTGTAATCAAAATGAAATTATTCTGTGATTCTGTAACCAACAGATTAGCAGATAACAGATTTTTATTCCAGACAGCAGCTGGAATAAAACAACCCTACAAAGATGGTCTGTAGTCTATAAGCTGTCACAATAAAGAAGATGAAGAAGTAACAAGTGAACACAGATATAGAACTCTTATCAGAGAGATTGTCAAGCACTGCATCTATTGTGCATTTGTAACTCTTCTGAATGAATGTGTTCACACTGATGAAAGTGTGATTGTTAAAGCTATACCAAAAATTAGAATGATAGTAATTTTAACAAAATAAAAATCAATAAATTGTTACTAAACTCATCAGGAGTCAGTTATTTCATACAAAGGTAAAAAAAATACTACTCTTAATTAGTAAGTAGAGTTTGTGCCTGTTTTTTGGCAACTCAGCAGGATCTGGAAGCTAACTGCAGGCAATAGCCTGAAGCACTCCAGGTATTTAATGAGTGTCCTCCACAGAAGCGTTATGTTGCTTGGAAACACACACTAGCAAATATTTATGATACCTTGTCTGGAAATCTGAAATGATCTTTAGCAATAAGGCAGAAAAAAGTCTGATAATGTGCTGATTATTTTGCAGAGTATAGGCAGGTATCAATGCTGATATTCATAACATATTCATAACAGAACCAAAAGAGGACCTATACCTTCAAAAATTCTAAGTAGCATATATAGCATATATAGCAGTGGTATATCAACCACTTGCACACCTCTAACTGGTGAGCAGATATTGATAAGGAATTAAGAAGAATGTTATTCCGTGACAAGCAAATAAATAAATCTAATATTATCAAAAGGATTTGAACTTTTCTCAAAAAGACTTCCCACTAAATCACTCAATTTATATATATATATATATAGTTGAAAAACCTGGTAAGTATATACTAAGACAGAATTCTTTTTTTTTAACATTCTTCACCTGCTATGTCCCCAGTACAATTTGCTTGATGTGGCATTCCTAATATGATTTTGTATGTGTACATTACTTACATTTTTATATTTGGTGATAAGGACCTACACTCTGCATTGTTCTCACTCAGAAAAGTTCAACAGACTTCTTTTGATACAGCACTGTTTTTGACCTGCATGACTTTCTTTCTCGTAAATGTGTCATATAGCCATATCTTAATTTCAAAGCTTTGCCCTAAGCACACCTGCGGAGGCTTTCATGGAAAATGACTGTGAATGAGATGGGGAAGATAAAATCCATTACCTGAATCCAACATTAGAGTGCAGAGCAATATTCCAAGTCTCTTGGCACAGATGATGTTGATTCATAGGATTGTGAAAAACCATTAGTAAAGAGTTATCTTGGGTATGATAAAAGGAATCAATACATCTATATTCTTGGGATGCTGTATGAAGAACCTGAAAAGGAAAGAAATAAAGGTACATTCTCCCTGCAGATGGTAGCATATGTGCAGAGGCTACACGGCACAGCCTTGAGCAACAGGTGCTCCAGAACACTTTCCTACAAGATGTATTCAAAGCATTTGGATTCCAGCAACCACAATTGTTCAGGTAGGTGGAAATTTGAATTGCATTGCTATTCATGTTGAGAACAGATAACAACTATGCTCCACCTTCTGAATGACCATGAATGAAAACACTCAGCTGCACAGAACCCAAACAAATTAAAATATTAAACAAATACTTAAGTTTAAATAATAAAATGCTTAAGTAAATAGTAAATAAACCCAGAATTATCATATACCAGATAAAAAGAAAACTAATTTACTTTTTTTTATCTCAGTTGAGCTTACTTGGTATTCAGTTTGGTACACCATGACGTGCGCATCTCTGAGATTTGCTGCAACCTACATTTTTCCACTCTCCTCTGCAGTGCCCCATAATTTTCAATATTTATATTGCCTGCAGGTTGAAGCTTATTTTATAGTCATATGTGAAAGAAAGCCTTCTTTTAAACTATTATTTTTCAGAACTATGCAACTGAAGGTTCTAGAAGGATCTGTTTTATCATCTTCCCAGGAACAGAAGTGAGGCTGATTAAGCTGGTAGATACCAGGGTCCTCCTTTCTACCCTTTTTAAAGATGTGTAAAATGTTTCACCTTATCCAGTCATCTGGGACTTCACCTGACTGCCATAACTTTTCTTTCAAAAGGTTATTTTTGGCTGCAATAAAATGATATTTTTATTATTTTATTTTATTTTCCACCAGTATCCTTTTACTAGACTAATTATTGCTAGTTAAAGTAGTATTAGCTAGTTATGTTACATACAAAGTGTTGCATTGGAATGCATGAGCAGACATAAAAATTGTCACACTAATGTGGTGCTGCAAAAGTCCAGGCAGCACTTCCTTGGCCCATGTCTAGCATGTGTCAGGCTCAAATAAGAATTACAGCCTATGAAGCTGTATGCAGCTGTATACAGCCTATGCTCAAGGCAGCACAGAACTAAAAATCCACTCCTCCCAAGAGGATGCCTCCCAATTCAAGCCAACTACACTGGAACATGTCTTTCAGATTTGCCATTCTGTCTTTCTGCAAGGTAAGTTTTAGTGTTTAGCCTGCAAGATTTCTATAAATTATACTTTTAGCCCTTAAAGGGTGAAGTACTGTAACAACCAAATTTTCTGTTTGTCCATAAAACATACACTGCACAGGTATTTTCAAAGTATGTTTTCACATCCACTGCAATGAGCCCCAAAACTGCTACAGAGGATCACCCCTAAGGGCAAGGTGGTTTTGTCTCCACCACACTTTCAGCTAAGAGACTTGATGCCAAACAGGACAGCTCTGTTTTGGCCAAACCAGGAAATAAAAACCCATTACCAAATAAATTTCACATGAAGAACTAAGAAAGTAGCTAAAGCACAATGAATTTTGGTAAAAATGAAAGATAAAACCGAATCAATTATTGAGCAGAAAAATACCATGGACTCCACTACTACTACTTTATAAAGCATTCTGAGGGAGGACTGTATATCTGAGATTGCCAGTTCACAGATACCTGATGAAGAACATGTGGTTCAAAATGCTCTTCCAAACTCCAGTCTGTCAAGCAACGCCTCTGTGTCTTTTTTATTTCTTCTAAAATTGGTCCAAGGCCATCATTTTCCGGACTCATCTTAAAATACAACAAACCAAAATAATGAATATCAACATTTCAGTGTCAGTATTAAATTGACTGTAATCTTGTTGGATTAATAGACAGCATCCCATGTTGCATCACAGTTAACTGCATAATAACTGTGCAGAGGCATATGGCACTGTTTAATAAAAAATACAATTACTCCCAAGCTGGTTTGGTTTTGGACATTCTATGACAAAATAGTCTAAATACTTTTATTATTAGCGTATATGTTTTTGAGTTCTGTAAGCAATTATGAGTATTCAAACATATCCTATAATGTGATTTTAAAATTGCTATGTTTATTATAGGATGTAGTATGGCAGACAGGTGATTCTGAAGATTCTGAAGATGCCAAACTATACAGTTTACTAGTGTGACACAGTTTGACAATTTCTTTTAAACTTTCCTGTTTGTATTTGACCCCTGGCATTCAGCAAAACCAGCGCAGAATTATCATTAACACTTTCATTGAAACCCGTCACCTTGGAATTCAAAGAAAGTGATTTCACAGTGCTTAAAAGTTATGTCAGTATTTGCCAAACATCATAAAATTAACATTTGCACGCAGCATTACAAAGGAATCCCCAGTAACACAGCCTGGCATTGAGCAGTATCTTCTGTTGACTCATGTAAAGTCTAGTTGACTCCATTTCTCACACTTGCCATATCAGAATAAAGAAGATCCAAATCTATGTTCAAAAGAGGACCAACCAAACCATCTCCTTCATCTTCGTCACTTGCTTCTGTATGCCCTGGAAATTGAAAGCAGAATTTAAAGAATTGTTCCAGAAATTTCAGCCTTACTAAGGTTGGAGCAACGCAATTTCCCTAGTCTCCTTGATGAGACTGACGTCAAGTTGAAGCCTCCTTTTTTCACACTTGTCCAATAAATACATATCTGCTACACTTCATTACTAAGAGAGCACTTTAAAGTCCAGTGACAAGTACCAGATAATTAAATAAAATTTTAAAAAAAGAAAAAAAAAGAAAAAAGGAAGAGTTTATAAAACCCACTCAAATCATGCTTTCTATCTGACCCATTCTAGCCCACTAAAAATACTCTCAGAAGTATCCTCCAGATTTGTAAACAAAGAACCATTTTTCTTCATACTTTAAAAAGCAATCCCTTGCACAGATGACTAAAAAATGATGATTAAAATAAAAGACAAGACCAACTGTTTTGGTATTTTCACACATTTTTGACAAATGCAAATTATAATGTTTTAATTAATTTGGTTTACACAGATCCATAAGCTACTGACAGAATATTACTTCTCTGAGGGTCTGACCAGTCATTCCATTGTTGAAATGAACACCTGATACTAACAGCATCACATCATCACTTTAACTTCTATATTCTCTTAATTTTAAAAAATAATTTCCTGTTAAAATATTTCTTCATTCCCTAAGTTAGTGCAGAGGTCACTAGTATTTGATTAAAATTCACATGTACAGGAAAATTACTCTTTCTGGTGGAAAATACACCAAAATGTATTTGTTTGTAAGCGTCTTATAACCAGCTCAGCTTCCAGACATATATCTTTAGGCTCTGCTTCTCTTGGAAATTACTCCTGTTTACTGACTGCCTTTAGAAGATAGAAGAAACCTGAAAGCAAATGTTTTATTTTCCTGGTATTTGCTTTTGTGCTGCAGAAGTGCTGAAATGTTGTTATGCTTGTAACTGAAGAATTCAATATCATGACTAGTATAAAAGCAAAATACACTAACACCCAAGCATGTTCCCACGATGCAGAAAAAAAGCAGATAAGAAGGACTCATTTTTGTCTGCTCCAGCCTTCTAAGAAAAGGATCCCAACTAAGCTGCTTGCTTAGAGATCTCTATCAAGAAAGCATGGACAACATCACAAAGTACTGCATCCAGCTCTGGGGTCCTCAGCAGAGGGAACACATGGATTTGTTGATGTGGGTCCAGAGTAGGCCCAGTGAAGATGATTGGAGGGATGGAGAACCTTTCCTGTGAAGACAGGCTCAGAGTTCAGCCTGGAGAAAAGAAGGCTCTGGGGAGCTCTTCTTATTGTGGCCTTGGAAGAGACTTCCAAGTAGGACCTGTAGTCATAGGATAAAGAGCAATGGTTTTAAAGGAAAGGAGGATAGATTCAGACTAGATAAGGAAGAATTTTTTATCATAAGGGTGGTGAAACACTGGAACAGGTATCCTAGAAAGATGATGGATGCTCCATCACTGGACTGGAGGTCAGATTGGACTCTGAGAAATCTGATCTAGTTGAAAATGTCTATGCTTATTGCAGGGGTGCCAGAACAGATGACCTTTAGAGGTTCCTGCCAATCTTAACAATGATTCTATGATTCTGTGATCATGAATCTAAAGGTATAATTGCTTAAACTGACCTAATTTCTACTTCTCTTGAGTCCTGAAAAAATAATCATTGTTTTTAATGCTGCTTTTTGGCCAAAACATCTCCTTTAACCAAGCCAAAAACATTTCATTACATTAGAATCTGCAGGAGAAAATGTAGAACTTCAGCAAATTCTTTCTGCATCATCTACAAATGTTAATGCCGTAGTACAAAATAGCTTTTGTCTTTATTCTAATATTTCTAGAGAGTAACTCAATGTATAGGCTATATAATACTTGAAAATTTGTTGACTTGTACAAAGAAGAAAAATCACAACTGTGCATTAGCAAATGATATGGTAAGACAAATAATGGATTCAAATTCTTCAGAAGTAATGTAAACAGAAAGCTTTTTACCAGAGCAGCTTGAGGATTTCTCATTAAGCTTCTTTTCCATATGGAAGAGTTGTCTCAGCTGTCTTGCAAACATGGCTGGATTATCCCAAGGGATATAAGACACTTCAGCATCACCTCCAACCCTAGATCCAGAGCTCTCCAGGAAACCAGAGTCACTCAGCCCAGTCAGCTTCAGGCTTTCAAAAGTAAACACTCTGAAGGCTCTTTCTACTTCAGCCCAACTCAGATGTTCTAAAAAAGAATTACAATCATTAACTGAAAACGTCCTTACAGCTCAGCAGAAAATAAATACAAGACTATTTAAGTGTATTGTTCTTGGCAACTCTGCAAAAGCCAACAGCAATTTCCTTAATGGTACTGGATCAACTTATGTGGGCTACATTTTACACTGCATTCGAAGTTGAACGCTTCCAAATCGCAAAATGATATGCCTACATATTAATCCATCTTAAATGAAGTGGTCCCTACATCTGAATACCTTCTGGCTCATTAACTTTATAAAAATGATGTTGATTTTAAAATACTGAGTAGACTTTATCAGGCCAATTAGCAACCAGTTATTTTCAGTTCATAAAATGTTTCCATTGTCTGTAGCTTCTCAAACAAGCATCAATTCTTTTTCCTCTTCAGACAGAATTTTACACACAATTTAAACAGAAATTTCAAGGTGCAAAGGCAATAATTAATCTTGTTTATGCTTGTATGCATTCATGAGCATATAACAGTGATAGTCATGCAAAGGACTGAAGTTTAAGACTGGTAGTACAATGTTCAAATTACATAAAGAACATCTTCAGTTTGAAGTGTTTTCTCTTTAGAGTGGTTAACTACCCAAGCACATTGTATATCTTGAGAATGTTGGATCTCTCATCTTCTGTTCAAATTAACCATCTCCTTTGATAAAAGCAAAGGCTTTTCTAGCTAATTTACCAGTTAGGAAAGTCTGGCTGTACAGTATGGACCAGTGAGGATCATCAAATTCAACACCCATCAGCTGGAGGACTATAGCAATAGTGAACACTTTAATAGCTTACAGTCCAAAATTAACATACCAACAACTAGAAAAAACACAGCGAAGTGTAAATTAATCCAACACAGGGAATTCGGGATGAAAGAGCTGGGAAAGTACCTTCAAGTCCTGCGCCTTATATGATGACATGAATGTAACCAAAGGGATTTGGATGTTTATATTTCTTAATAACTTAAAGCAGACTTCTGATACTTCCTAAGGGTATTTATGTGGTCTTTGGGATTGCTTCCCACTGTATGTCATGGTGGCAAACACTCCAAGAAAAGGTAACTGCAGAAGTAATTATGGTTGGAGAAGTCAATGTATTCTTGGTTTGATAAAGGGACAGTTATAAAGTAGCTTTATTATTAACACCAACAGCTTACATAGAATACATTCTTAAAGCTGTGTATTGCTCCATAAAAACTGTCTACCTAAGATACATGTGTTTTACTTCCAAAAGTGAGTTGATAAATTAACATAGTTTACATCAGCGTCTCTCGAAATGCAAAAAACTGCAGTTTTGATCCTAGAATGTAGCTGTTTTTTTCTCACAATTAGTAAGAGTTTGTATGTTTGCAAATATAAATAAATAAAGTTGTTCCAAGATACTCCCAGCTCTCAGGTACGCAATATTTTACACTATTTATCATGAAACTGAGGTCTGAAGTTAGGGTTAACTTGTGTAGTAGGCTATAATTATATATAAGCAAGAATGTGAAAGTGGGAAATTCTGCAAAGGTTTTTTTTGGCAGCTTGAAAATCTTGTCCCAGAATTCCTGCTATTTAAGAGAATCATCAACCAGAAATAAAAAAGAATGGAAATTATATCAATGAAAATCATTTTACCAGTAGTACAATAATGCATGAGCTCGTGAACTCTGGCCAAGCGTTTAGTGTTGTTTTCAATTGAAGGAGGGGTGAAATGGATAAGTTCTGTAAGAGGCAGTTTATCCATCATTTCATGCTCAATCTTTTCTGGATTGAAGTTCTTCTGGACCTGGAACAAAAATCAAAGGACCAGAGTTAAAGTAAACTTTCACACTATTGACTTCCAAAAAATTATGTTTGAATAAAGAGGTCTTTCTACAGCAGAAGACATTAGCATGTGCTTAAGTCAGTTGGACATAAACTTAAGCTTGAACATGGGCCCACAGTATGGTTTTGATACATGGTGTCAGATACTGTCGGCAGAAAAATATTAGACACATAAGAGAATGACTGACAGCATAATAACAGACATTTTTTAGCTGTTATTTGTCTGTGTTAGCTAGACTTAAAAATACAGAAATATGTACTGATCTATTCAGACTGGCAGCAAGTACCTTCCATGTATCTTTCAGCTGGTCTGTGCTACTTTTCATAGTAATGAAATCCATAAATTTATTGATCAGTCTGTGATGAGAGGCATCCCTCTATATACAAGGATTTATTTTTTCAGACGTAGTGGTATCTTTCAGTTTCACTCTTTGTAGTATTACACACTTATGGTACCTTTTTCTTTAACTGCATATTCCAAATGTTTCTCCTCTACTCTTTCCTCAAACATTGTGCTATATCCTGAATTTCCTTTTCAGTAAGTATATAAAATAAATCACATATATGTCTGCTAAGAACATCTCCTATGTTGATTACTCAGTCCTTCCTTCTGCTTGAATACATCCAAAGTGTCAAACTTGAGTTGTTTCTGAATAGTTTTAATCAATGGTTGTCAAAGTATTCCCCAGATAATTTGTAATCCATGAAGCCAGGCAAACACACCTTAGCTGTGAAAACTAGAACTGTATTATCACTTGTATAATCCTCAGTGAATTTTTAAAGTTTAATGGTAAAACTACACCTTGTCTTTGGAAAAATTCAAGACATTCACAGTGTTTTCTTGATTCAGAAAGTCTGGGAACTGTTACTTTGCAATAATCCCAAACTATGCAGTCTCTGAACCTTTCTGCCTTTGTTAGAGTTTGGGAGTATCTTGGTTACACACTATGCTGCAACTATTTAGCCAATCTGAATACATTTCTTGCTCTCATTAATAGCTGTTATGTATTTTCTGCTACTTCTCAACATTTTAGTAGTTAGTCTAGTTTCCATGCTGAGTCACCATTAACAAGTTAGCAACTCATTTTCCATAGTATCATCAGTGTGTAACAGCAAATCAACAGTTCTGTAATATCTCTCATCTATGCCAAAGGCTAGACACTCTCATTAATAATGCGATCACTGAAATCAGTATGTTTGTGCTCCACGTTTGTGAGGTGTCCTCTGTCAGTAACTCACTGCTTCTTAAGCAAACTAAACATGTGTTGGTGCATCCACCACAGTAGAAAGAAGATCTAGGATATGCTGTCCTGTTTTGTAAAAACACCACTCCTCCCCTTCTAGTGCAGTGAGCACTCATTGCCTGTGAACTTTGGAAATACTGATATATAAATATGTTGCATTGTACCTTCAGCAGGTGCAACCGTTGAGCCAGGGCATCATGGTAGTTAAATAAGAGAGGGTACTGGGGGGTGACAGTCTCTTGTTCAACGTCTTTAAGAGAAAAGTAGTCATACAGATTCTGTTTTAAAAGAAAAGAAGGAGGTATTAAACCCCAATAATGATATTTGTTGTTTTAGGAAATGAACCAAAGACAACACAAACCTTTTTTTCACTCATGGGAAGTGATAGAGAAGGAAGGACAGAGATTATATGATCTGCGATGGCACGATGCAGCCCATCAGCCTGAGGCTCTGCTGTTATCAGACTCGGTGGTATAAGGTCTTCTTCACTTGCAATAACCTGGCAAATATAGTATATGTTAGCTTCCATCACAGTATGACTGCTGCTTAACTTTACCAGAAATACCAAGGAAATCCTGTTATAAGCTAAGCACACATCCATAAATTCTGTCAGGGAAGAAAAGCCTAAATTTTTCTGCAAGTAGCAAAAATACAATTTTACAAGTTAGTTTCTGCACAAAATAAAGATTGTGGAAAACAGAATTAAATGTTTTTTCTACCAGTTTGAAAAGATGAGAAGAAAAATATTTCTAACTTGAAAAGTTAAGAATTGTTAAGAAACACAGGCAATTAAAAACTGATTGTCTATTAGGTGTTGGACTTTGTGTATTCTATTTTCACACTAAGTTACAGAAAATAAAAACTCCAATATTATGCTGAAATTTTACTCCTAAAAGAAGGAGGATTTCTAAATAATATTGTGTGTCTCTTCTACATCATAGATTGTGCCTGAACTCAACAGAAGTCAGATTTGTCTAGCACTAACATTGGTGCTCTTCTGTTAGGCTTGACCTAAGACCTTTGAACTGAGTAAATCAGCAAAAGTTCAGTATAAATAACATTGCTGTAGGACATGAAAACTTGTTATTGACTTAGATAAGAAATTGCACCTTTCTCCTAATTTGATTATATCTGTAGTCTTCAAAAATTAATTATGGAATAACACTATATATACATATATATATATAGGGTAAGTGCACAATATGAAAGTGGTCTTGATACAGTTCACATCTGCGTGAAGCTTATGTTTGTGTATTCACAGGTTCAAAACATGAAAGAAAATCAAAGTTTGGAGTTTTGACTCCTTTGTATTGAACCTCCTTGCTCAATGCATCAGTGTCTCATATTTTAGGTTTGAACAGATGGATGTATTGATCTTTGACAATCACTTATATTAAGTCTAGGCCAAAATAGCCACAGAGATTAAAGATACATTAAAAAAGAGAACATTCCCACCTGTTCCAACATGCAGCTCAGCATTAAGGGTACAGAAAAGTACTCCTCAGGAATTTGTCTCAGCAAGTCATTGTAATACCTCATGTCCACAGAAGGAAACAGAATCGAAGTTTCTTCATCTGCTACATTAAGAGATAAAACATTAAGATATGTTTGTTCAGAAATACCAATGTATATTCCAAGTCAGTTCTGGAAGTTCACAGCTAATACAAAACTGGGAGGAGCTGTTGACTCTCCCAAAGGCAGGGAGGCCCTGCAGAGAGATCTTGGCAAATTAGAGGGCTGGGCAATTATAAACATTATGAAGATTAAAAAATAGAGTGTAGAATTCTGTGCCTGGGATGAGGCAATCCTGGATGTACATACAGACTGGGGAACAAGATGCTGGAGAGCAGCACCACAGAAAGAGACTGAGGGGTCCTGTTTGATGGAAAATTGAGTATGAGCCAGGCATACCCAGGCAGCCAGGAGGGCCAACCATGTCCTGGGGTGCATCAAGCACAGCATGGACAGCTGGACGAGGGAGGGCATTGTCCCACTCTGTTCTGCTCTGGGGCAGCCTCACCTTGAGTAAGGGGAGTTTTAGGTTGGGTATTAGAGAAATTTTCACCCAGAGGGTGGTTGGGCACTGGAACAGGCTCCCCAGGAAAGTGGTCACAGCACCAAGCCTGACAGATCGAGAAGCATTTGGAAAACAGTTTCAGGCACATGGTGTGACATCCTGTGCAGGGCTAAGTTGGACTCAGTAATCCTTGTGGGTCCCTTCCAACTCAGGATATTCTGTGATTCTGTGAACACTTTAGACAATATTTATAAAAAAAAGTCTAACAAATTAGAGATCTAACAAAATTACTGTGATCTTTTGAATCTGACTGTGACTAGGAACAAATAGAAAAACTGATTTATTAAAGAACTTGGTTATCGCCACTGCAGTTTTCACTTTCACTGCACTTCCACAATGTGCTCACCAGGATACACAATATCTTCAGCTAACTGCACAAATAATTTTGAGGATTTGTGCTGTCAGACGAATGAATGGTTTGACAGAGTGAGCAACTACAGACAGATGCTTTCATCCTTTAAACTTACTCTCTGACAAAACTATTGATGGCAGAATTTCCTCTGGTTTCCCTTTTCTCCTTGTAGGTGTCATCTGTGGTGTTGGTTGTTCCTAAGTGAACAAAAGTTAACATAAAAAAATCAGAAACCATAAAACAAATTTGTATTGCACAAATAGGTGGGAAAACCTAATTTCATTTAGCTTTGGTTACTCACCCTAGACTACATGATAAACTTTTAAATGGAACAAGATAGTAAGAATGTAGTGTGTGTTCTAATAAGCTACTTTCTTCTGCCCACTTAAGCTTTTGCCTATTATGAATAAAATAAGGAAGTAGATCTTGCATAGAGCTAATAATTATTTTTTTTGACAGTTCACAAATCTGCAAAATTGCATAGTAGCTCTGTGCAGGCATATTGATTTTTCAGACACAAGAATGTATAATCAGACACTATTTAAGAAATTTCTACACCTGTGATACTTTATGCCTGTAGGATCCTTCTAATTTCCTTCTTCTGTTTCCCCAATGCTCAGATATTTTTTTCCCATTTTTTGGGGGTTTTAAATGCTTAAGACAAAACCACAAATTTCATTCACTGAAAATTATTCAGAGTGATGGTCCAAGATGAATTTATGAGTCAAAATGAAAGACAGGCAATTCTACCCTATTATTAGTTATTGTCAGCAAGAAGAGAAGGGTCCTTGCCTCAAGTGAAGATGGTTGTGTTGACTTGCACTCTGGAAATGCAAGCACATTAATAAACTTGGTGTTTTCCAAGTAGTTGCAATGCTGTCTTCTCCAGTCCAGGCAGTCATACATCAAACAAGCAATGTGTTCAAACAGCACAGTACCAAATGCAAGCTATGAGAGAAAATCACATACAAAGGATGAAGTGTGCATATAAAAGCGTCACGTAACTTAGTGAGAGGAGTCATTATCTCTTTAACCAGCAGATCTACATTTACTTATCAACTTTACAAGACTTTTTCCTCCACCAATTCAATATGTTTTATGGGGTTATTCTAAAACCTCCTTCATTTTATTTGCCTTAACACTGCCACTGCACAGTATAGACTGTATATTGACTAAATGCTTTAGTTGTTATAAAGTCTAACTTGTCTTAAGTTCAAGGTCTGCTATCTTGCAGATGGAACTTTTGGGGTTTTAGATGGGAAGGAATGGGAGAGAAAAATTAAAGTGTTTTGTAATGTGTGTACGTTTTTATTAGTGATCAACCTGCAGCATATTTGCAGAGTCAATCATTTCTCTGCTCTAGAAGGATAAAAATAAAACCTCAACCAGGTAATATAATATTATATTCTTTTCTTTCTTTCTGTTGCCCTTTGAAAACAAAGAAAGCCTCAAGAATGGCATTCTGAAATCCACAGTGAGTGAAGGAATGTCAGCATACTGCCCAAATGTCCAAAGGGAGAGCACTGTATCTGAAAAAGTCTGACAAGGAAAGAGTCATGGTTCTTGAGGTCATGTACTGTGGTTTTCACCAAAGCTTGGGAGGAATAAAAAGAATAATAGCCACTTCTATTTTAAATATTAAATGTTACTGTACAAATACCAAAACCCTGTTGGAGACCACATGAAACACTGAAGTTTCAGCAGCTTTAATGGATGTACTCTTCCCCTGGACATCCTGGACTTTGAGGAAAGGATGGAATTATTATAACTTTTAGACAATTTCTGTAAAAAAACCTTTTCTGAGTGATTCTTTCACTCTTGTGAAAGTAGGGCAAGTCTCTTGTACTAAGAAGTCTGCCTCTAAGAGGTGGCTAACAACATTGAATGTCTCAATTCTAAGTTTCCCAAAATAAAACAGTGAAGAAGCTCAACTGACATTAGGCACTAAGAAAAATAACAAACTGTTAAGAAGTATTAAGCATCTCCTTTCCTCAACTCAGTGCCTCTTTATTACACTGGGAAACAGGCAATCCCGAATCACTGATAAGTTAAGGAATAACTTAAATGGTAAGTTATGGAATACTTGTCTCCATTTTCATAACATTTAAAGACTAGAAGAGACACTTGGGAAAGAAATTCTATTTGTGAAAACAGCATGTTCATTAATATTCTTGCACCTTTGTTTTCTCAACTCAATGTTTTTCTGAAGAATGGGTTAGTATAACACCTTTTCATCCATGTATTTCTTAAGGTATCATTAGAGTCCATAAAAGTTTTATATAAAATATTGAAGTGTTTTCAATGCACAATGTTTTAAACAAAACGAGATTTTTTATGAAGTCATGAGTAACAAAACCCATTGATACTCAACGGGATCCAAGCAAAATTTAGTATAATTACAATTTTGTAATACAATTTGCCTGGTCTCTCCTGAGAACATAGATGCTTATCCAAAGTTTTTCAGGTCTAACCATTAGTGACTCTCCAACAAAGAAACCATTTTTGAAAGTATTTTCCTTTCTAAAGATCTCAAATCATAGAGCAGAGACTGCTTGCAGTATGTAATACTCTCATTTTTATATTAATGTCTAACATTTTGTCCCAAGAATTTTCCTCCTGTGTATCTTGCACTTCAGAGATTCAGCAAGCTTAGACTCAGAGATCCTCCAGCAAGTCCACAAGAACAGACTTACTCTATGTTATTACTATGATTTCAGAACTTATCCCCACCTGTTTCTTTAAAAACTTAGAAACTTTCTTACTTCTGAAGGGCTCATAAAATTTTAACTGCAATCTGTTGAAATCTGTTTCAGTGACAGATGATTTTTCCTCTATTTCAGCTACAATGTAGGTGCTTGCAGGATATTCAAACATAGAAACAGTCCCCTGTAAGATGTGATTATAGGGAAGATAAAAACTGTTTTCCCAAAAGAGGCTTGGGACTGTAAGATTACATAAAGAGTATAATGATAAGTCATATTATAAGTAGCAAGCCTACACGATTCCACAACTAAGGCATTTTCAGTGAATGCTTTGGAAACCACTTAGAGTTGTTTGTATACAAACATAATCTACTGTACTATAAATAAGGATTAGAAGAATGTAGTTTAACCCTAGAATGTCCTTTAATCCTAATAATATAAAAATATAAATATAAAAATACAGTAGGTTAAATTATAGCATGTTGCCTTATTTTGTTACCTCACTATAAGTGAGAATCTATGATGGAAAAAATTTCTAGTGATACACTTTCTCCTTCAGTGTCTGGTAATAATCCTGACTCAGCAGGCTATAATGAGTAATAAATTAGAGCCATGTTTTAGACAAAAAGAAGCAGTACTCAGTATGATAAAACAACATCATATATCAAAAAGTATTCTTGCATTCAGCTAATTTTTTCTTATGTGACTATTCTGAGGTGTAATAAGTAGGCCTGATGTTATGAGGACAAAAATATAACTTCTGTGTCATTTCATACATGCATATAACTCTCAAAAGAGATGCAAACTGGGTCTATAAAGATACTGAATAAATTTAAAACCTCAAACTATTTTACAATTCTTCTTCTGTGGCCTACAATATTAAGAAATTCCAAACCAGGCATCTTTGTTCAAAGGACTCCTTATAAACAAATCCTGAATAAAGTTGTTGGATACATAGGAAATAATTTTTGTTTAAGATTACAAATATACTAACTACTTGTGGTTTTGTTTCAGAGAAGACTTGAGATAAAATTCCTAAAGTGTTCTTAAAAGTTATAAACCCTAAAGCATGCCATGCACTGTAAAAACAGAATGTACTGACCAGCATTTCACTGTCTGACCAATCAGGGGGAAAGTCACTTTCCTTAACTAGGTAATGAAACCTGGCAATATCAAAGAGACTTGATCCATGCTTTCCACTGTTCAGAACGGGGTCCAGGAATTTCCAAAATATTTCCAGGTCCTTGTTAGCTTCGTCTTCCTTTCTTTTTTCTGCTTCTACATCTAAAATATATAAGTATTTAATAAATCATGGCACAATGTCTCCCTTTAACATAAAGCACAAGTCATGTATCAGTCTTCTCTAAGGACTGTTAAAATATTTCCATCCTCAGCAAATATTTGACACCCAACTTTGGGATAAAAAATACCCCCACTTATATCTTGCCATCATCTTCTACCTGTTCCAAGTACAGTCATTGATCCTGACAGTAACCTGTGGGGATCATCTGGTAAAACTCCTCTGCTCAAGCAGTGTCACCAAGCTCAGACTTCCCAGGACCATGCCCAGGTGGCTTTTGAGTACCTCCAAGAATGAAGGCCCCTGACCTCTCCGGGCAATCTGTGACAGCGTTCAGTCACCCCCACTGTAAACAAGTGTTTCTTTGTCATCAGGTAATACCCCATGTTTCAGTTTTGCCATTGCCTCTTGGCCTGTCACTGAACACCACTGAAAAGAGCCTGGCTTCCTTTTCTTTGCACACTTCTTTCAGGCATTTATACATATTGATGAGTCCCCTCCAGGCTCTTTCTTCTCCAGGGAAAACATTTCCAGCTTTCAGCCTCTCCTCATATGAGAGATGTTCCACTCCTTTGAACATACAAATTGGTCACTTGATGGACTCTCTCCAGTCTCTGCTCCATATCTCTCCTGTACTGAGGAGTCCAGAACTGGACACAGAACTACAAGTGTGGCCTCACCAGTGCTGAGTACAAAAGAAAGTTCAAATCCCTTGACCTGATGCAGCCTTGGATAACATTAGCCTTGTTTGCTACAAAGGCACAGTGCTAGCTCACGTTCAGATTAGTGCCACCACCCCTAAGTCCTTCTGTGCAGAGCTGCTTTCCAGCCAGTCAGCCCCCACCATGAACTGGTGCAGGACATTGCCCTTGATGAATTTTATGAGGTCCTGCCAGACTATTTCTGGCAGGACCTGTTGAGGACCCACTGAAAAACAGCACAATTCTATGGTGTTTCGGCCATTCCTCCCAGTTTTGTATCATAAGAGTACTTGCTGAGGGAACTATCTTGATCACTAATGAAGACATTCAGCTGGATTCATACCACCAATCTCCTCTGATACCCACTAGGCCAGGACATTCAGCCATTTTTCAATCCAGCTCAGTGTTTACTTTTCCAGCTTCTTTATGAGAAGACAGTGCCAAAAGTCTCACTGAGTCAGGGCAGAAAATAGTCACTGCTCCCTCCTCCTCTACCAAGACAGTCATTTTGTCACAGAAGATTATCAGGTTGGTTAAGAATTACTTCCATTGGCAAATCCATGCCAAATGACCAACTCCTTGTCCTTCATGTGCCTGGAAATGTTTCCAGAATTAGCTGTTCTATCATATTCCCAGAGACTGAGAAGTGTCTGAATGGCATTTAGATTCCTGAGTCATTCCTGCCATTTCTGAAGATTGGAGTGATGCTTTCCTCCAGTCTTTAGGCACGTTTTCCAACTGCTAACTTTTTTCAAAAGTAATTGACCATGGCCTTGCAGTGACATCACAGCCAGGCCCTCAGTATGCCTGAGTGAATCCCATCAGGTCCCACGGATTTATGTGTGTCCAATTTGTTTAAGTAAATCCCTAACCCAATCCTTTTCCACCAAGAGACTTTCTCCAGACTTTCACCCTGTCTCTGGGACCTGAAAATTCCAAAGACCATTCATGGTCACACCCAATTTTTCTTCTTTCAAGGTCCTTTGGCCAGTCCTTATAGGGAGGCTGTTTGCTGGACTGAATAGAGTTTATTGGTACCTTTCTTCTAATGAAGAGTCCATAACTCTATTCTCATGACAGCCGAGTACCAGGGAATAACCTTGACCTGCTGGCTAAGTCACTACAGCTCAGGATAGCCAGACATCACTGATGACACATATGACAAGCTTGCTGCTTACCAGGATCCCAGTTCAAGAAAGGTGTTACAGCCCAGGGACAGCTGAGTACAACTACAGAGCATTATTCTGTGGCATATTCTCCTGTGGCTGGGGCCACAGTCCCAAAGCAGCCAACTATTCACTCTCCTTGAAATTACTAAATCAGCCAAGTTTTCTTACCAGTACACTTCCTAACAATTCACAGAAGTATGCATTTGATAAAATGTTCTTCTTTGGTGGCTACTGTGGCTGCAAACTCTGCTTAGTCAGCCCCTCTTTCTACTATCCAGTTTTTGCACTGGCAAACCATTTGGCTTGGTGGCCAACCAAAGGCAATACTACTTTGGTACTGGCAAACACAGCTGCTTACAGGTAGCATGCACAAACAAGACATGGAGAGGGGAAAAAACACAGCCAGAACAGTCATTCCCTCAATATAAAATTATCTCCTTTCTACACATTTTTTTTAGTGACCCAATTACCTTCTTGTGAAATTAAAGATTGTCCTTCAAGTTTAGTTGCTTCTAAGTACATCTGCAATGGCTTGTAATTCTCAGAAGAAATTTGAATTACACTTGAAATGTTAATCCCAAGGTCAGTCAAGACAGGCAACAACTGAAGATTGGGGAAACCCAGAATGATAAAGTAATGATGAGCACCATCATCTGGTTCATCATCTGTTCAAAACACAACAAAAACAGATTGGAGTAAGAACATTCATCAGCTAAACAAAATAAATTTTTTACTTGACTACATGGGGTAATGCAAATGAACATCAGAGAAACAGTTCTTTTATAATCTAATTGGAACAATTACATTTAAATACAATTTACATGTAAATTCAAAAATTATGCGCATAAGACAGGTCTTCTGCACCAAATCACCTATAACACAGCAGTAAGAATACAAGTCAGAAGTAATAATTGGAGAAGGACCAGGACAAAAACTGCAGAAGCTGATTACAATCAGAATGTTGTAGCAGCGTTTCTGTAATTGCTCTTCTCAAAGGAATTTAGTGCCAGGGCATATCTACATACTCTAATGGTAGTTTAAACTATTCTATTTCATCCTGCATAAAGGCGGACAAGGAACATACACAGAGTAAGTTACAGTATCTTATATGACAGATTACACAAGATATAATAATTTCAAAGGATTAGTTGCAAGTATCAGCTGGCTCATTGCTGACTCCTCCCTACCCAGCAGGTTAATGTTCACTAGATATACTGCTTGGCAAAATCCTCATCAACTGGTAATACCAGCTCACACTAGTCCTTTTAGCTGGCAGGGGATATCCAAATTCATATTAAAGTGCAGATGAGAAGTTTCATTGACTGCCTGTTCTATTTGGGCTTATCAGTTATGTAGAAATGTGCATAGCAACATTCCAGTATCAAAACAAAAAGTTAAGCATGATAAAAGTAGGAATGAACTCTCTAGAAGCTCTAGAGTTGTGTAATTTCCTTTCATGCCTTATGGAGAAATACAGGTAGTAAAACAGGTATCAGGTGATTTAATTCATCCAGTACAGTTATTTATCCTAAGTTAGTAGAAACTCCCTGCTAAAGGTCCTGTATCTCTCCATCAGTGCTGAAACACACAGAGCTAGTGCAGACAAACCCGAACTAAAAGCAAATCACAGCTTTATACTCCAGCATTAGGATCCTTTATTATGCTTACTAACACATCACATATCCAAGTGCTTTAGTGATTCCTCAGCTCGTGGGACTCATTTATCCAAGGAAGGAAAAAAGGTAGCCTGGCATCAACATCTGTCTGTGCTTAGATATATGGCCAGGGTTGTGCAAATGCTGCTACCACCTGGAGCAGCAGGCTCTCTGTTGCTTGTAATATTAGCTAAACATACAAAATAACATAGAAATTTAGAGGAAGCAGCCACCACAGTCCAGCACGTATATTGCATAAAGTAAAAATCAAAACCAGAAAAAAACTAGCTTATTATTTCATTCCTAGTACTGAAACTGAAGTACATAAATTTATGTCTCAGTTACTGCAGGAAGAAAAGATATAAGCACACACTAGACATTAATAATTTTTTTTAAAAAAGACAGGCGTCTACATTGTCACAGAGACCTAAAAATTCCAATGCATACAAGCTGAAGACTGCCTGCCATTTGGAAATTATACCTAAGATTATGCTAATAATAATGACAAGTGGATAACCATCAGTCAGTCAGTTCTAATTATCAGTGACTAGTCCATGTGCAAAAGAGGAAAGATATTACAGTAAGTAATCTCAAGATTACTCAAAAGCAGAAATGTTTAATTTCAGAAAGGTGATAATGTATTAGGGATGAACGATAAATTGACTGCTACCAGAAACAGATACAAACTGTCTTTGAATTTAAGGCATGGTCTGTATTTATTTATTTATTTATTTATACAGCTACATTAAAACAAGCTTAAAGAGGGGAGGATTAGATTGGATGTTAGGGAAAATTTCTTCACTTACAGAGTTGACAACTCTGTCAGCTTTGTTTGAAATTATAGTATAAGAAGAAAGCCACCTTTGGATACTGACACATTTAGTTATTCTGAAATCTTTCTGTAGGATAAGTTTTCCATAGGATTTTTTAGCTACTTTCTTGTAGTCTTACATATGCCCAAACATTTTGATGCTGACATGCCACATATAACTTATCTGTATTTTTACTTCTTGGACTGCAGAATCCACCATAACACTGAGCAGTACACAGTGCTCTCTTCAAATGCAAAGTGGCAAAGCTTTGATATTGCCAAATAGACCTTGACTTTTCAGCATGGAACAAAACAAAGTACTCCAAAGGTTTATCAGGAGTATATCATCATATTTTACATACCAATGTATTTATCTTCCACTTCCACTTCTCCTCGTTGTTTTAATATGGTGTCCTTTTTAACAGGGGGTGCTCCCGATGACTTTTTTCCTTTACTTGATTTTCTAGATGTCTTACTGGGAGATTTAGATTTTCCTTTCTCTTTTTCTTTTTGCTGCTGCTCTGCCTGACAAGATGAATAAATGAAGTTCTCATTATAGCCTTTGTGCAGAACAAAAGTCAGACTGTTTTAAAACTTTAGGTGCTCAAATTTTTATTTTAACGCTTTTCCCTCTCAGCTGCTATAATGTTCATGTGGTAGAGCTTTATTGAACACCCTGCTTTTTCCTACTCAAACACATAATTCAGTTATTTATATGTTCTTAGTCATAATGCTAAGACTGAACATTAAAAATGAAACTGCAAAGGTAGGTAGACATTATACCCAGCAAACTAACAAAACACATATAGGTAGAGAGGTGTGTAAAAAATCCCTGTGCCTTAGTTACTTCCACTACAGCACTTGCACCAGCCAGAAAACTTCCTTGGACTGAGAGGAAATATGGCAAAAATTCAATATCTGTTAGTATTTTTAACATCTCTGTTAACACTCTTGACTATGGTGTAAAATGGTACCAGCACTATTTTCCTTTGGTGTAAATATCTGTCTAATGCAAACTAGAACCAAGAGTCGTGCTTTCATTTCACACAGGATATTACTCAACCATTCTCATTATCTTCAAACAAAAACACCTACCTAAAGCCCTTTCCAGTAATTTAAGAGTACAGGATGAAAAAAGATTTTCTAAGTATCCCAAAGCCTCACACTACAAATCAAAAAAATCGAGAATCTGTCTAAAAATTAAAAAACAAAACAAAAAAATATTAAGGTAAAGTAGGTTCTGTAGAGCAAGAAATCTCCACCTTATTTTCATCCAGCAGATATAGTACATTCAAACTATGCAAAAATTACATTTCAGAACTATAAAGCTAAATTAAATAAAATAAAAATAAAACCTACAGTGACAACCCTGCTGATGTCACTTTAAAGCCAAATAAAGCAATTAGGAAAGCCCTTCATGCAAATGAGAGAGGGTAGTTAACTCTATATAGTTGCTTTCCCTAGATCCAGCTGAAAAGCAGACTTTCCAGCTGTGGAAATTGTATTTAGTTCAAAATCAAAACAAAATCTTTTCCTGCTTTTCCCTTCCTTCTTGAATTTATTTTCTGTAAAATTTAGAAATGTCTTTGACAGATTCTTGAAACTATTTCCACTGTGTATTGAAGGATTTGGAGGCTTTCATTATTTTATTTCAAATTTGTTCTACCTTTGACATTTCAAATTAGAAATTTTGATTGTACTAGTTTGAATTCTAAGCTGATGAACACACCAAAGAGATGATACAATCATCATGCCACAAAGTTCACAATCAACTTCATCTATTGCATCTGCATAATTTTCAGTAATTCTTAAATAAGCAGAGGCATTTCTGGACTTGCCAAGATTCTAACAAAGAACACTACTTGACCTTAATACTTTAAAAAGTAAAGGCCTCTCCTTTCTTGGACTCTTCAATTTGCCTTTCAGTGTCATATTTCTTCTTGCCTACAAGGTGCAGCTTTTTGTGGAGTTTCTAATAATCCATTAACTGCTCCAATTTTGTTATTTTAAGCTTCGCCTTACAAAATTTTACTACCTCAGTTTTCTAATTCAGAGACACTTCTGCTTAATATTTTAAATACATACACCTGTCAATTTATGACAAGCTTTTGCTTCTAATGAAACACAGAAATTTCCTAATACCTTCTTTTTTGTTATTTACAATTATTAATTTGGTTATTTAGTTCTGCTGATAGATTCTATTAACTGGTATGTATTAAAAAAAAAAAACAAGGACAGATATATTTGCTTTCTGAGAACTGATTTGCAAGAAAAATCCTGTTTTCAACACCCAGATTGTTGGCAACAGAACTTGTATTGTACAAGCTAGTTGGAAAGGATTAAAATGTCATGGCAGCCAATTTAGAGATAGAACTCTACATTAGAAGTCAGTTTCTGTCCACTCTGTGCTGCAGAGCATCTTCATATCCAAGTGCCTTCCAATTCTTGACTCTGTCCTCTTGTGTTTGCCTGTCACACATAGATATAGGTACAATTCAAAGGAGGTGACAACTTTTGCAGACAGTTTGGCTAAAACAGAGAAGTAAGTGTAAGTGCCAGAGACTCTTCAACCTTCAACACTCACTATCCTCAAATTAACCAGGGAAATAAAATTGCAGTTACAAGATGAATTTTGTTAAATCAGAGCTCTGTAGACTCCATTTTAATATTGAAGTGCCATTAAACTTCAAATTTTTGTTTGACAGTTTACTTACAAGAATTTACTGCTATCTAAAAGAAAAGCCATTTTTTTTCTCAATTCACTATTAACAATCTATTCTATAACTTCAACCTCTTGATTTCTTTTCAGATTGAAAACACCTTACTTTTCTCATATTCTTCATATATTTCTGCGGTTTAAATTATCATTTCTTAATAAATTGACTTCTGTGCAAACAGGACACAATTTTAATGGGATCACCTAGCATTTAATGTCCTTGTGATTGTGTGCTACGCTTCATCCACCAACTACTCTCACAAATAAAATTGCTGAAAAAGAAATTTACAGACTTCTCAGCTATACAAAATCCATTTAACTATTTTCTGCTTGCATCTTTTTACATGCACAGACTGCTTAGGTCTCCATGTCATCACACTTCACATTATAGTTTTTGATCAATTAACAGGGTAAACTTACTCCAGCAATTATATGATTTTCTGATAATTAACTGTCTTTCTTCAGTTTCATGAATGTTTGTTGGAAAAGGACTATAGTAAAACCAACTGTTCAGTAAGCTGTTGAAACGTACCACTGACAACTCCAAAAGATGTTAGAAATAAATTAGAGGTCTGATCTGTGATTCTGTGCAAGCTTGGTGAAATTCCTTCTAGAACACATAAGCAATCTGTCTGAGCCAATCTTGGAGCTAGTAGTGACGATCTTGGAGACAAAGGGAAGCAAGTTTTGGGAACACTGGAAAATGCGGTACCCAATTCTAAGAAGCAGACTTCAAAATATGTACTGTTTTGAGAGAGTTCAGAGGAGAGGAACATGCATAATCAAAAATGAACAAACATGACACATATTTGTGTAGTTAAATATGTAATAGATTTCTGTAGAATGGAGTGCAATGTTGTCCCCAGACACAGGGAGAACTGAAAGAGGTTTAAATGAGAGCACGGTTGGTAGGATCAGAAACCTTTTTCAAATGTGTGTGTTGCAGAGGTGGATCAGAAACAATACTGATTGCCATGGAAAAGCAAAGACACAGCACTGGAAAGTTTTAAGAAAAGGTTCTACAAACATTGGCCAGGAATAGTTTATGTAAATATTACCCTGCCCTAGAGCCAGAGGATGGAAGAGATAACTTATAACTTCTCCAAATTCCCTCCAGAGAGAAGATTCATAATAAGAACTCTGTCATAGTCTGCTCTGTGTCTATCCTTGATACCTCCCAAGTAACAATCTCTCCTACCTTTACTTCAGCAGGGATACATTCAGCAGAAGCCTGTTCCTAGCTCTGTTTTCTATTCCTCCTAAGACTCAGCTAAGCCACTACTGGCAATCTAGTAAAGACTTCTTCCATAGTTTTTTTATTTTCTCTTTTTTCCCCACGTTCTCACTGGCATTTGAGTAATTGGGAACTTCATCCACAAAATCTAATCAACTTTAAAAAATATTTCTAATCACATTTCTCTTCAGTTACAGTTCTAGAAAGCCAAAAATGAGAAGAAAGCTGAATTTATGGAAGCAACACCAGAACAGAAGTGTCTTCAAAAATGTAATGCTTCTAGGGCATACTATAGTACCTTCTTTTCCTCTTCTCTCTTCTGAAGATCCTTCTGTTTGAAACAAAGCAACTGAAATTTCAACAGCTTTCCAGTTAGTGTCACAGGAATTTCTTCACCCATCTCCAGAAGGGTTTTGGCTAATTCCACCACCTGCAAAGGAAAAAAAAAATCACAGCAAAACTACTACTTGCATAGTTTTAATACTGCACTCGACTCATATTTATTTGCATGCTGAAATGAGGAAGTGTTATCTCACACCGTACCACGTGTGGGTCAAAATAGCCACATTTCCAGAAAAAACAATATATCAGTAAGACACAATCATTATTCTTTGGTTCCAAAGACCTCAAATAAAGTTATATCAGCTATAGTACGAGATAAAACTAGAATGGAAAAAACCTTACATGATTTATGAGAAAGTCAACAGACACAGAGTTCTCACAGGAAAACATAATTTTCTTTAAGTTTTAAACAAAGAAACAACATTAAGCAACTACATATTATAAAGTAATAAATTAAAAATCACATAACAGATAGCAAATCAAGGGGAATAGTTTGCAGTACTGTTTACAAAGTGGCCAGTCTGAGGGACTGGCCCTAAATGAAAGAAAAAAACTTCTTGAAGAGAATTTGAGAGGGTCTGTCTTGGTGAAAACACACCCCCTCCCTGTGTAATTCTGATTCTGTTGGTATGCAGCCTAATTGGGGTGAAATAAGGCTATTCAGTTTTCTTAGGGTGATGACAGCAGCAGGAACATACAGCTGCATTGTCCAGATGTGTGGCATTGACAGGCTGTTTTATGACTATGTTTTTTACAGCTTGTTTCCACTAAATTTCATACAACTCACTAACATCTGGGCCGTTTTCCTTGGAGCCTCATAACCACTTTATTTACTGCGAAAAAAATAAAATAACATAAAAATACTGTTAAAAAGTTGTTATATGTTTCTTTTCACTTGTGTTGTCTCTGTAATAAAGTTCACCTACATAGGAAGCGCTGCTGAGGAATAATATAACCATAATATTTTCTTACTTTTGTTTTTAAGCAACCATCAGCTTTATTTATAACCATGGGCTGAATTAAGTGTTACTCAAATGTTCTGACATGTTTCTCTTTTCTCCTCATGAGCAATTACAGTTGGGCACATATGGTGTCAATTTTGCTTGCTAACACTGAGACAATGAAGGTGCACACTGCATCTCACTGAACTGTGTCTTGTCTAATGCAAACACCACCATTAGCTTTGAGCTTCCATAGATTCGTGCCTAGCTTAGAAATTTTCACCTCTCACCTAAATGTAGCCACTAAAATGCTTCTCTGAATAAAGCAGAGCCAAAACAGAATCCAGACTATTATAAGACAAATTATTGTTTCATGCAAATGAAAGCAAGGAGCAGAAAAATAAATGTCTTAAAATTCAGATTTTTCCCAAGTCACATAACAGGGAGACAAACCAAAACATACGCATCTAAAAACCCTTCCAAAACAATCCTGCTCCTGAAACACAAATAAATCCAATGATCTTAACGTACACAAAGGAAGATACATCATGATTAAGATGAGTTTTGCTTTGCATGTTTTGTACTCAAAGTAAGCCTGGTCACTAGCTCAACAAGCCCATCATAGAAGGCTTCTGGAAAGACCCGCTGACATCAGAGCCACAGCAGAAAATCAAGGACATGTTAAGAACAAGACTTAGAAATTACCACAGACTGTGTGCACACAAGGAACTACTAGTTATTCCAAGAAAAAGTAGTCACACAGAGATAGGCACACAAATCTGCACCCTGAAAGAAAGATACTTTGGTAGAAATATCATAGTAATTTCCCTCAGAGAGAAAAATTCTCATAAAGTTTTTTTTTTTACAGAATTGATGTTAACAGTCTATGGAAAGTGATGCTTCTTGGCTTAACGTAGATGGGTTGCATATTTCTTGAAACACAATAGAGGGGAAATGGAGGGATTCTGGAAGGATTCCTGAAAAGCGTAAATATAGCAACCCAGCTTGATGGCCGTTGTGAAAATAACGTTGTGAAATAAATAATGAATTTATTGTTCATGGAAGAAGAAAAAATTGCTTAGATTCTTAAACCTCACTCTTCCTGAGAATTTTAAAGCATTTTACCAGTCAAAAGCAATGCATAATAATTATTCCTGTATTGTAGATAGAGAATACAGGAATGAAGAAACTTGATGAAGTAGAGTGGGGAGGAAGGACAAATATTCTTATGTGAGCCATGAGAGGTATGGCAAAAATATTTAACAGGAATACATTCCATGACTGTGGAAAGAGATCACACAAATAAAACAAAGACAGAACGAGTGCACTACATTTGGCAATACAAAGAAAGCAAATATCTTTTCATGCAGAAATGTAAAATATGCTTTATACAGGAGGAAATTAAAACCAATCCTAAAGACAGAAAATAGTTAAATCCATGCACAGTAGATGAAAGAAATTAAATTTATTACACATCCATATTTACTTCATCTGTGGTCCTATGAATTATGCAGGCACCTGGCATAAATGGTTAAAAATCTACTGAGCCTCAAGTGAAAAAAAAACCCAAACAAAAACCTCAAGACAAAAACTGGGTAGGAATACAGAAGGAAGTTTTTTGGATACTATGAAGTGGATTTGTTACAGATTGGCTATACTTCATCCCACCAGTGATGATCTTTTTCTTATGTGAGAAACCATGGAAACTTGGATGGATAAACTTAGTTAGGTAGGGCCTCTTTTCCTTTAAAGCAAGAGGAAACAGCATTCCTCACACAGCAGGGGTCACACGGGTGAAGTGCAGAAAGGCTTTGGCGATGCAGTATTTGATCTCATATGGTGGCAGTATGAATCACGCAGAGATTTAGCTGTCTGGTGCAAAGGGCATGTATTTTGAGCCACTCAAACACTGCATGAGAGCTTGTAAGTGACCCTACGCTATTGACAGATGTCAGCGCCACTGAGATAGGAGATAGGTCTTAAAAGTTAGGGAAACATTTAAAGCCAGAGTCATTGTGCTATCTTTCTTTGAAATGCCTCTTTCTCAACATACCATTGTGGCTGCCAAATCATAATCAGAAAACCTTGCAAAAAGATAAATTAGATTATAAACTTTTACAGCTTTATTACTACCTGGCAGCAGTAACACTGCTTGCTATGAGCACTGTATAGCTCTCCCATACCCAGAGTGAGCTTTCTAAAGGCCTGTCTTCCCTCTTGTTCTTGAAATTGAAAGAAATCCAGACCATCACATATGCCTCAGACTCGTATAACACTTCCTAAAAGAACATAATAGTTCCAAGAAGAACCAAATAACTAAAATCCCTTAGTTGCTGACACAGTTCAAGTGAATTTGAAGCAGCATAATCATCAGTCAAGAGGCTCTATGGATTACACAACCAAGTTGGTAATTACTATTCAGATGTATTTTCCTGAGAAAAGTAATAAAAGCAGGGGAAAAAAGTGATTTTAACTTATTACAATCTGCTGTCAGTCTTATGAGACCTGCAAGCAACTTTCAAGACAGACTAGGGTACAAAAGCTGCATGTGTCATGCTGATAAGTGCTTTTTCTAAAGAAGGCTTCTTTACACATACTATTAAATATTTCTGACTCTGCCAATGTAATTTCATTGACTAAAGCATACTACAAGCAATCATTTTGAAAGAAAATCAGGAAGGATCTGAGCTAACTGAAATAACTTCTTGTTTCAGATGACACCTCCACTGTGTTGAAATAATTCATTTTTTTATATTCAACCGTTCACCTAACTTCATTTTAACTCTCCAAACCTCTTCCCACCTATTATGTCAAAAGACCACTTGCTTAATTATTATCTTTCACTAGTGAATTAATGACTCACAGTTCAAAGAGAGCTTAAGGACTCACATAAATCAATAAATCAATTGCATATCTGAGCAGAGCTCCATATAATGCTTATGTATCCACAAGGTAGACAGTAAAACCTAAGATAAGCCAAATAAGCAATCCTTGTTAAACAGTGAAGATGTATTCCAGAGAAAACAATTAATTAAAATAAAAATAATTAAAGTGGATTTGATGACTCCTTGTACCCCATGGAATCCTTTTGAACTAAACCTACTATACTGAAGCAATACTGAGCAAATATGAATGCTGTTCATGTGCTAAATACCTTCCTTTCTTTTGTGAGAACATTTCTCAAAGCAGAAGCAAATTGTTGCTTGTACTCTAGAAAAATAACTTGTCACTCATATGAGTGAGTCTGTTTTTTGCCAAAACACAACACAGCTTGATCTAGTTAGCAGAAACCTATTAGAATTATTCATTGTAAGAAAGTCTGTTCTCTAAACCTCTCTCTACAGAAAATCTGCAACCTGAGGGGATATTTTAACTGTTTTAATCTCAGGGATGCTCTGTGAGAATTTTCTAACATATGTACAGCATTATGTAAAGTATTTAAATAATGTTTAAAAAAACCAGAAATGGTGAATAACCTAATTTCAGTAAAAATGAGAAAATACATTACATAAAAATAAGGTGGGCTTTATTAGAGAGCTCATTCAGGAGCGCTCACACTCTGGGATGTGCACCTCCTATGGCTCCCTGACCATTAGCTACTAAGAAAACCAAACTGCTTTAAGGGATACAAATATCCAGTGATTAGAAAAGTCAGGCATTAGCAATGCTATCTCAGGAAGGAGTTCTATGCACAAGGAAGGTTTTCTCACATGACCTTTGATATATCTGTTTTCTTTTAACACTGACTGCGGGACAATAGTTGAAACAGCATTTAAGTGATTTCAGAAGAACCCCTACAGAACTCAGACCCTATTAGAAAAAGAGGACAGGCCAGTCTGTTGTGATTTGTGCTCAGATGAAGGCATATATTGCTATGATCAAATACTGAAATGTTTACATTTCAGTGGGATGAATCTGCCCAGTAAATCTTTCCATTATGGCACAGAATATTTTCAGCTTCTGAGAAGTAAATTGTCTCCAGAAATTTCAGCCAACTGAATCCACACAATGAACACAGAGCTAAAAGATTTAGTCACGCTTCTCTAACATTGAATCTGGCTAGAAAGAGAACCCAATCAGAGGTGGAACAAAAAGATTAAGATAGAAAATTGCCTCATCAAACCTTGTGTTGGCAGAACCCATCCAG